CTGGCGAAGGGATCGGGGGGGATGATGAGTATCGTTCTGACGTCAGTACTGCGTTTGGCAAAAATATCCGACAGTGATTGTGTCTAGCTAGCACGCAATGGCACAGCTAAGGACGGCAGGATGATGGGACACGGTACATATGCATTTATTAAGTAACACGCAGATGCTGCGCTGTGCTGCAAACAAAGCCGCCTCACGCACAAACGACAAAGACTACAAGGTTCGGAATGAAAAGCATGACAGCTGGCGGGTCAGACACACACACGGAAACCCACTGATTTACATGTATGTACTCGCTCCCACCTTCGCTGAGCGCGGCCAATGAATAACTAATGAATAAAAAAAAAAAAAGCATGACGAGCAGAGAGGAAAGGGAGCCATCTTCTCTGGGTAAGGCCGAATGAATTCGCCGAAGCGATATGCAAATTTTCCCTGGGCTAACGAGACCGCCTGCATGATTGGAGTGCTATTGAAATTCCTCTCGTGCACCGCCCTCTCTCACTTCCTACCACACTCCCTCCTTCAAGCCATTTCAATCTCTACGCAGAACATCCATGTTCCCCGTGCATGTGCAGTGTCTCTGTCTCTCTCTCTCTCTCTGTGTGTCCGTCCATCATTCCAAAAACAACACGCGCATTTGCACAATGTCAAACAAATCCGCATTTCCCTTCCACTCAGACACACACTGCGGCCCTATCAGTGCCTGGACAGCAGTCAATGCCCCTGTGTCTTCTTATACCCTCTTGGCCTGTCTCACTAACACGCGTGTAAGCACACAAACACACACACACGCACACACACACACACACCCACACCCACACAGACAGAGTCCGCTCAAACAGAGCGCGCTCAGAGTCGCTTTGCACCTGTTCTCTCTGTAAAACATCCAAACACGAGCGCTGAATAAATAACCCGAGCTAACACAAATAGTTGCCAGGTTCACACACGCATGAACACACAAAAATACACACATACACACACACACGCGTAACCCTAAACAGCACAGCCCATAAACACACATCAATAAGTAAACATCACCTATTTTACCCGGTGTCCTCTTCCTCTCACCACTCACACTCGGCACAACCTGCTCACACTGCAGAGATAAACACACGTAGATGTGTGTGATGGTTAATGGTCAGAACAGGGATAAGAAAAAATAAAGTCTCGTGGAGAAAGAGATGGAGGAAAGAGGGTGGCAGGGCATTAAGCACTTGTCAGATGCATCTTTAATGGCAGGACACAGCAGCTTAAAGCCCCTGGCCGCCTCTTCCTCCCTGGGGTGCTGGGGACAACAAGAAACCCGAGCGCACACACACACACACACACACACACACACACCTCTCTCGTTGTCCATCTGCCTGGCCTCCCATACATGCTCATACCTACCCGCCTCATTCTAGCATCCCTCCATACTATGCCCACTTTGCCATCTGCATAATTTAGCATGGCATGCTTTTCTGCCACTTTGTCTTGCTTTTTCTGCCTATTCAAGCATTTTGCTTTTTTCTTCATCAATCGTTTTATTTTTATCATCTGTTGTTCACTTTCAGGTTTGATGGAGTGGAAGGAAAAGACGATGCTTTGTCAGTTCGTCCCCTAATAAGTGTCTCTGAAAAGGAAGTAAGAGGTATGGAGGAAAATAGAGAGAGAGAGAGAGAGAGAGAAGTTAAGAGAAGAGAGGATGGGCAGAAGAGCAGAGAGTACCGGGCCTCTGCAGAGTGGCCACAAAATGGAGACTGGGACAGAAGCTGCAGCAGCTGTGGTGACGCTACACTTCACAGAGAGAGAGAGGCAGTGTGTGTGATCAAGAAGGGGGATTAAACGACCTCTTTTAACGAATGCAGAACCTTTCACGTTGATCCTCAACACTCTCCCTGTATCGCTCCCACAATATCAACCAATCAATGAATCAACATGCAGATAATAGATAGATAGAGTGTGTGCGAAAGGTATATATATATTCTTTCTATGGTAGTTTGTTGTATGTGAATTTCACATTACTCTTATGTTGAATTTCTTCATTCAATAACAAATAAGATAATAATAAAACATACAATTCTGTGTTGTATGCAATGCTGTCACTCAGCTTTTATAGTATCTTTGGCAAGATAGTAACGTAACTTTGTTGCTCTTCGTTGGCCAACACATACACAGCAACAAGAGGATGTTTGCAGCTAATTAATTGGTCTCACTCTAATGTGTACGGCACACGCACACAATGTCTCCCACTAAACTAAAAGGCTATTAGACAGAGAGAGAAGTGTTCAAATCTCCACATTTAGAGATAAGAATAAGAATGATTCTGAGAGTGAGATGGCATGTACACTCCCTGTCACTGAAGAGTACACAGCTATGCAGGCATGTCATCCGTGTGTGTGTGTGTCTGTCTGTGTGTGCAAGGGCAGAGCCGTTGTGATGCACTAATAAAACTCAGCCAGCGATGCATCCTCACACCTTCCTCATTCCGCCCGCCGGTTCGCGCCCGTTACCATGGTGACCAGATAAAACTCACACTGTTTTAAGCTCCAACTGGAGGAGGAGATGGATACCAACAAAGTGGCACACCCGTACGCGCACACGCACACACACACACACAGATGAAGTTCCTTCATACACATCCGATCGGAGCATCGTCATTCAGTTCCCCAACGGACAAGTACACAGATGCGAATTCTCTAACCAGCAGCAACACCAGCAAATCATCAAGTAGAGATAGATAGATCTAGATGGAGAACGCTAGTATGACAGGCGAGTAAAAACCAGCATAACCAGTCAACACAAACAGCCGTCCTCTGTTTGACTGTCTGTCTATCTTTCTCCACCTCCCCCCCCGGCCCGCCCCAACCCCATCGCTCCGTGAACGGGCCTCAACGAAAACAGATTTGGCTGTCAAATGCTGACACGACACCCAGGCAGGGTCGTCTCACAGTGAGGCCAGCTGCCAGCAAACACCCTCTCGTCTCTTCATCAAAGCCCATTCAAGCTCAGTTGACCGACACAGCCGTCTGCGTGACATGTGTCATCCTGTCAAGACAATACCTCGGCACACGCTGTCCCTTATAAATGGCGAACCACTACAGCGTCTCCAGTGCTATGGGGGGAAAAAAAGACAAGAAAGCTGTACATGCCACCAAAAGCTGATGGATGGAAGGATGGATGAGGGGGGGGTAGCGCACATGTGAGTGGCCATGATGCTGACACAGGCCGGCAGTCTGTACCAGGGAGCAAAAGAGATGAGAGGAGGCTCACAGCCAAAGATGGATGGAAAGAAGAAGAGGGGCACTGTGTTACTAATAAGACCCATTCATCAGCTCTGAAGAGATAAAAGGGAGAGGAAGATGAAAAACGGAAATCTCTCAAACCTTTTCAAATGCAAATTCAGATGGTTTAGTGTAGGATGATTATTTTCTTTGTCAAATAACCCAACAATTTATTTAATGGACTGACCGACCGATTGATCACTTTGTCTGCACAACGTCTTTCACCTCGTCACTTGTTTTGCTTTGCTCGGTCAACAGCCAACAGCCCCAAAAATATTCAGTTTGATATGAAACGGAGAAGAGAAAGTGTATAAAGAATATCACTTTTTACATTAAATGATCCTAATAGGTCAAAAAGAAGCACATGGATGACCTGTCCTGATCCGCTTAGTCACAGAAAGCTGCTAGTGTGAATATAAGTGTGTGCGTTTGCGCGCCTGTGTACACGTTAACACATGCTCTTGATCATATGTGATCATGTTTTACTTTCAAAACAGACTGGCCTGGTCTCACCACACTCACACGGAGGGATATGTGACAAGAGAGGGGAACCCAACAGCAAGCTCAATCGATCCAGACTGGAAACCCCCTTCAGGCCACACACACACACACACACACACAGACTACAGCTGTGGTGGATCAATGAGTGCTCCCGAGTGAAGGACAGAGCCATATAAAAAAGGCACACACGCAGCCCTGTTCACACACTATTTAGAGAGAAGAAAGGGCTGCTGGGTATCAGAGACGGAGAGAAGGGGCAGAGGGACCAACACGTATCATCTTCCCTCAATAGTCTCATCTGACACCCAGCAATTTGCCATCGCTCCGCGGAGCAAATGTTATGACTGCCTCGCACAAGCTCGCACACATCCACAGACCCGCACACCACGGAGCGCATGCAGATACAACATACAGCAACATGTGGGGGCCAAGTTTGGAACTGATCTTACGTCACCTTTAAAGACGCGGATCGATTCGAACAGGAGATCGGATGAAGCCAAGAGAGCAGCTCCAGACGCAGCAGAGCCCAGGAGGTGTGGCTGCTCTCTTTTGGGTGACTGTGATGAGCAGCTAAACACATCTGTCACTCATCAAATTAGGTCCCCCCCCCAGGCCCACATAACCCCCCTGTCTTCCGCACACAGTCTCTCACACACACACTGACACACACACACACACACCGTAACATGTCTACTAATGACTGATTTATCATTATAACAGTGAGTGAGGGGCCAGAGATGTGCCACGCAAAGGCCATTTCATCAGACTTCTTCTTAAAAGATTCAACCTTTCTTCTTCTGAACCTTCCTCCATCTTCTCTCCCTGACCAAATAGGAGATGGCAATGACGCTGTTACATTGATTACTATTAATTGAGATCTATCAACAATCACAAAGCATACAAATAATACATCTAGATAGAAAACCCATTTTTTTAAATACCATACACAGTTATGTATTTTGGTTTATTCAGGCTAAAAATAAAAGGAGGGAGTTCTCATTTCTCGGAGGGTTAATATCCTTGAGTTCACTGACATACTGGGACGACATTGGCTTATTTACTTTTCCATTATTATCCACCACCTGATCAAACACAGCAAGCACACAACCGCCCCAAATACAAACCACACAGTCGCACGAATGGCGTTTGCGGTTTCATTGCCTTTCAGTTGGAGAGGACAGCGGGACAAAGTGGACGCGTGGCTCTTCATGTTCATGGCCTTGCTGAATGTCTTACCTGGGACGATTGAGACGGTGTCTTTCTCCCAGGACACCACGCTGACGTACTCCTGGACGGCTGGGGGGATGAGGCACTTGAACACGGCGACATTACCCCGCATGGAGCGCTGGTCGGCCACGCGGACTGTGTAGGGCTCCCTGAACACTGAGGGTGGATACAAGAGCTGGAGTTAGAGTTAGTCCACAGAAGGATTCATTTCATGGAGATGGAGGATATCTCAGACAGGGGGAATTAGCCAATGACAAATGGTTTCAATAAAAATGTATTTTTAACCAGAAATGTTTTCAACCAGCCCAAGCTAACTTGGTTATTTTGTCAGAACAACAGTCCAAAATCCGATAAAATTAAATGAATTGTAAAATTTATGAAGCTGGAACGAGCAAATATTTTCGCTGAATAAATTATACAATAAATTATTCAAATTTCTGATGCATTTTCCGTCCGTTAATTCATTGACTCGCGGTTTAAGCAGTCTCTATAAATAACAATTCACTCCTCCTTCCTGCGTTGACATGATTACGTTTAACCCAGAGTAAAAGCCGGTCTTGTAAACAAACCGGTCTGGTGTCCCGTTGAACCCCATTAGGCCGTCATTTCTCTGTTTAGCCGCAGATTTGACGTGTCGCTCTGATTGTAAGGCGGGTCGACACAGAGCCGCGTTGAAGGGGATGCACAGTGAGCGGCCTTTGGCCTTTTAAAGAGCGAAGCCCCAGATGCTTTGTGACGGAGAGGGGCGGAGGGCCGCTCGCGGCCGAGGGACCCGTCACATGCAGGCGCAAGGCGTCAAAAACACTCGCCCTGCACATGACACGCGGAGCACTGCTGTGGGTCTGTGCCCGTGTGTATGGAGAGAGAACGGGGGTGATTAAAATGGGCTTAATGATGAAAATAGTAGCCTGTAGCTAAGCAAATTATCTCTCCAGTTAACTCCGTCACCTTTAGGTTAGTTATAAACATGAAGTAAAGTGAAAATGAAAGGATGGATTGTTTTGGTGAGGAAACGGGTAGCGCTATGCTATGCTAGCTTGACTGAAGAAATGCGGGCCTGTACTTTGTGAATGGAGCACGGCCTACCGTTGGTCTCACCGCTATTCAGGCTGCATCCACACTACTTTTACTACTTTTTGGTTTTAAAACACATATGTTTTGCTACGTTTACACTGAGCAGGCATACTGACTAGGTTTGTAAGCGGTCACCACTTTAAACTTGAAACTCGATGTGTCCTTCCCGGAACATTTCTTGTTCTTCCTTTGTGAGTTAATGGTCACGTGATCTACGTTCGAGAAGGTGGCCGTGTGGATGCAGATCATCTCGTCTCTGAAACGCCCGCGTGGACGGAGATCGTTTTGGTTTTCGGGAACAGTAAACGAGGACATTAATGGCTCAACAATGTAAGATACACATGCACGCGCACACACACACACACACAAACACACACACCAAAGTGGCCCCCGCCCCCCCATGTTTTTGCTCTCTCCTCCAGCTTTCCGGTGATATAATTAACGCGTAGCCTGAAGGCCAGTATCCTTGGTCATTAATAACGCTTCATGCCAGCCGCCACCGTCACTGCAACCCAGCGGAACCGAAGCCAATGTCCTTGTCCAAACGGTGGGGAGTCTTTCACCTTAGAGTCCGAGGTTTAATCTCCAAAGTCTTTCTCTGATTCTGTCCATTGCTTTTACACTGTTACTAGTTTTTCATAAATGGACAAACCCTTTCATTTTTTCTCTCCTGAATTGGAAAGCGCTTAGATGGGAGAATAGTCTCCGTTCTACTTCAAACATTGGGGAAATTTCACCTTTTAGGGGTTGGATAATCGATTGTTGTGTCACCCATACTACTTCTTCCTCAGCATAATTAATGGTTGCAATAAGGAATCCACCGGAGAGCATCTCACTCCTTTGTGAAGCCACAGGACGCTGAGATGGGCAAAGGCCTCATTTGAGTCAAAGCAAAAGGACAAATAATTCCAATCAAATCTTCATTTCAATTCTTCAGTCAAACAGCTCCCGCTCCTCCTCGGTGCCATCCCCCTACAGATCAATGGCCAGGATCGATTGAGTAGCCTCTGCTATTGTGGCCGAGCCAATTCTTTCAATCATTTATTTACTCTCTGATTGACCCAACTGCCTCTAGTCAATAGCAGGGAAAATCCCTAATACCCACTGTGCCTCTCATGAAGTGTTTTAAACCCACTTGTCAGGTTGTTTGGTGTTTGGTGCAATATAACAGACGAATGCCCGTTCAGCAGGAGTTTAAAACAAGTCAAGGTTGTCTCAGGTTTCTATTTCCTTTGCTTTGACCCCAGCTTGTCCTTCGCCAGCTAACTCGAATAAGCTCTTTATGGCAACGTGGCCTTGTGACTATGTAACCAGCACCAGTAAGAGGCTACTGTTGTGATTGTATTATCATGTAACACACGCTATTCTTCAGAGATATATTCTCTTCAGCCTTGTGACAGGATGTAAATGGTAGCTCAACTGATTTGTGTGTAAATTGCACTCCCCCTCATCGCATGTGCAGGAGAATCATTAGGATGTTACTGATGCCTGACTATATGCAGCCCGGTTGCCTAGAAACGAGCTTAAACATGGGTCTGGTGCACTGGGCGCACTGGGAGGCAAGACTTGTATCACTGTCGCTTCAATAATTAATGACGGGGAAACCAAATACTGCATTTACTTATTCATGAAGCGAACCGCAAGAACAGAAGAAAAAAAAACAATAATGACACGGATGGACGCCAGTTTCCTTATTGAATGGATATTATATCAAAAGCAGTCCTTGTGTTTCAGGTACCCTAATTATTATATTATCAAGAAAATGTTACCCAAAGGAAAGACGATGCGGCAGAAGGAGGAAATGGATGCAAGCACATGCGGTCTGCTCTCAGGCCTACGTGGCTCTGTGTGTTTTAGTTGTGGACAAAAGGGATATCATTGAACAGGTGTCCTTCTCTCATTTTTTCAAGGTTGTATCAAGAGGCCATTGTGGGCACTAAACCATGAAACCCTGAGAATCATGCAGGACTAAAGACTGGAATGACTAAACGTACGTGCTTTTCTTTTTAGAGTAAACTCAAACATTTGCCTTTGGGTTACTTAACTGGGTACACGAAGATGAACTTTGATGGAGAAAGATTATTAAAATACAGTGAGGCCTTATCATTGAGGCTTGAATGCTTCCAAAGTGCTAGATGTTACGTATATTCACAAAGCTCTGCTTCAGGGTTAATACAGATTTTATTTGTTATAATTTGGGGGGTTTTCTCGATAGGAAATTGTTTTTTCTGCCTTATTTCTTTAATACTAAGTTTGCAAATAATTAATATAAATGCTCCAAGGGAACCGGAAGAGCCGGTCTCCATGGTCGAGTACAGTTACTGTACTCTTTAGGTATAGTTAAAACAACAGAAACATTCATCATAAATTATAATTAAACATAATGTATTACATATAATAAAACACATTTTTATATATGTATGTGTTGTATGTATATTTTTTTGTACATCTAACGTTGGAGGTCAAAGTTCAGCCTGACAAGCAACTGTGACATTAAATAAGAACGAATGAATTATGTTTTAAAACTGAAACATCTACCAATGCAATATAGTGTTTTTCTTTTAAATCTTTAATTCCCAACATCATTGTAAACACATTTTTCCGGCACTGTAAATCGGATGCAACCAGTGAGAATCAGATATACCAAATAATCCCCCGCTGTGCAAAATAATCTATCAAAGAAAAACCTGCTGAAACACAGGTGTGATCTTAGAATGAACCAGTCCTGCATAAAGAAAAGAAAATGCTGCAGCGCAACGCACACTTAGAAAAACATTTATAATCCAATAACTGTTTAGTTGTATCTCAAACCTCATTCTCCTTAAACTTTTGACAACAAAACATTCATATTTGAAGATATGGAAGGAACTTGAAAAATATGTTTTCATAGAAACTGGTGTAAAAATATCCATTGAATGACCCGCAATAATGGAGCCAAAAAAAACATTTAGTACGAGAAAAAAAGAAAACCAACATAGTCATTTTCATAAATGTAAATCTATCCAGACAGGTGCTAGTGCTATTATTGGCCCACAATCAGCGTGCATGGGAGAGGGTGAGAAAGAGGGGGAGCGATAGAGAGATGTGAAGACGTGAAGAGCAGGGAGAGAGAGAGGGGCAGGGCGGGAGGACGAGACGGATAGCGAGGGGGAGTTTGGGTGCGGCAGATTTTTGGGGGGTGTCACACTGTGAGCTGTCAGCTGCCATCATTCTCCTGCGCCGCCTGAGACGCGGCATGCCACACCCTAGCGCTCCCGCCTCTGTCGCCCATGGCAACTGCACAGTTGTGTATGTGTGAGTGTGCAAATGAGAATGTGTGTGTGTGTGTGTTGTGTAGGACTCTGAAGAATAAGGTATACACACACACACACGCACACATGCACATAAGCCCTGGTTATAGAGCTGTGGAGTGGTGTTTGCCTCAGCATTTAATTGATTAATTGTTGTAATTATTTAGGCGAGAAGGTCATTCCAACACTGAGGCTGGCTAGAAGGTCACTCTCACGCTGTAGGGACTGTACTCCTCTGGGGACCACACCGGCCATATGGGTGGTTACGGGTTTGTGTCTATGTGTGTGTGTGTGTGTGTGTGGTGATCACGGTGAGGGAGACAATCTGACAGAATCATTTGGGTTTGTATTCGTGGGATAAGGAACTGTTGACTTTCTCTTTATGCAGAATTGATCAACACAATCAGAATGTCCGCCTGGCTAATACGGTGACCTGAAAATCCACTTTTTATATGATTATGTTCAAATCTTTCTATGTCTGCAGCTGACTCTCCAAATATTTCCTGCCAAACACCCTGACAAAGAGCTGGCAACTAAACACCAAGACCCAGCTTGACTAAAATGGTTCTGTGTGTGTGTGTGTGTGTGTGTGTGTGTGTGTGTGTATGTATGTGTGCGTGCGTGCGTTTGTGTGTATGTGTGTGTGGTTAGGGGACTTTCCAGTCCATGGACAGATGGAGAGACTGGGAGACAGGAGGCTTGCTGGCATGAGCTACAAACATGGCTGGTGTGCATGTAAATGTGTGTGTGTGTGTGTGTGTGTGTGTGTGTGTGTGTGTGTGGGGGGGCATGCATGTGAATATCTACGCACATCCCATTAGGTCCCATGCATGTGTTTATGATGTTTATGTGTGTGTCTGAGGAGTCTGAGTAAGAGCAGTAACACCTTTCCTCAGTGTGTGCAGCGCCTCTCTCCAGCTTTGACCTTGGCAGGGGGGGCGGACAGGTCATCACACCAACTGTCTATGTGGCTGCGTGTTCGTCTTCAGGAGGTTTTTACACTACACTCTCAGATACTTCCCCACCGGCTGAGAGACGTTGTTAGTTTATGAGGGCAATATGGCCATTTTGTTGACTAAGGGTAGCGCTTATGATGTTATTGTTAAAAATGTTAATGTGAAAGTAAGCTTATAAGATATATACATGTAAATATATATGTAGCAAAGTGATATATTTGACAATGACCGCAAAAACATTTTGTTTTTGAGGTAGATCTTTGTGAAGGCACATTCAATGAATTTCAACATGAATATCACCAGGTTTATTTTGGATTGAGCAATAAACTGGATTTCCAAATATAAGTATGCAGTTGAGACTGTCAATGTTCAATTACTCTTTAGTTCAACGTTTTTGCTTTTAATTCAAGTGACAAACAACAGTTGAGCTAAGCTAAGGTAATGCCGAGAACATAGTGGTAAGATAAATGAATCCCTTCAGCCATTGGCTTGGTTTGCACATAGAGTGTCCAGCCCTCACCTGCTTTGATGTGAATGCTGGGGCTCCGAATCTTGCCTGCTTGGTTCTCCGCAGTGCAGAAGTACTCGTTGTCGTGGATAATGCTGTTGTAGGCTGATGGGGAGAATGGGTAGAGCTGGAGGGTACCGTTGGCATGCACGTGGCGGATATGGGGCACGTCATAAATGTCGTCTCCGGCAGCCAGGTACCAGCGCAGGGCGGCATGGGGGGCGCCGCCCGCGGGGCAGGGCAGGGACACCCCCACCGAGCTGGAGAAGGTCACCCGCTGCAGGGAGGCGTTCACAAAATACAGCCGCGGAGAGACAACATCCTCACTGTTGACTGTTTGGATCAGAAAAAGAGAGAAAAGCAGTTAGTAGGTAGGTGTCAGAAATAACATACACATCAGGCAGATATAAAGAGCCACAAATGCACTAATTTATTACTGAGAGAAGTGCTTGGTAAACGAGTGCTGAACAGTGCTTCTGCTAAATGGAAGGATTTTAAGATAAGATATATGTTATTATAGTTAAGTAACAAAAGGTTTGAACATATTTTTGTATAGCGTTCAGGGTTCCTTCTACAAAAGTTAACGTTCCTTACCACAGTTACTTTGCACTTTACAGTATGATACAGAAAGTCTTCAATGCAAGGAGACCTCGTTATTAAAAAAACTCTTTGCAAACACATAACATGTTAATTATTTTTTAGGTTCACTGGAATGGGAATATTTTAGAATGTCTCACTTTGAAATATCAATAACGATGCTACCTAACTCTCACATAAAGTATTATACAAGCTGGGTCTAAGGCCATTCAGGTCACCTCAAACTGCAGCCATCCATCTAATCCTATATGCATTATCCCTAATCTAACGTATGTATCGACACAGGCCATTAAGAATACGCCCCTCAATAGACGGGAAAAACAGGACACATAACTCGACTACCACCGCTCTCCTTCTTCATGTTAATACCCTTCATCTTTCAGTATTAGCGTGCTAGCAAACTGCTGCATTTCTTCCTCTTCGTCTCAGGCATTCATATCCACTGAAAGTGGTTCTCTATCTGGATACTGGGGCTGGATAACACAGATGTTGGTATTGTGGCAGAGATGAAGAGCTACAGTCAGATAAGTTGTCCTAGGGGAGATAGAGCCTCGTATATCCTCTCTCTCAAACACCCTCTTCCGGTTCAGACTGAGGCAGAGAGGGATCTTTTAAGATTTGTGTGTTTCTGAGTGTGTACGTTTGCCGTGACCAGGGAGCTGGGGGAGTAGAGTAGTGTAAAGTGCTGAGCTCAGCTTGGCGACAGGCCAGGGGAAGACACTGTGCCCAGAGCAAGAGAAGTTTCTTCTCAGACAATGATACTTAATTAATCCCCTTTCCTGGATTGTGTCAACAATGCCTGGATTAGTCTTATCTCTGTAATTCTCTCTGTGCTGGGAGAAAATGGGGTGACACATCAATGCATAAAAACACTATCAGGTATCATAGAGGATCTTATTTCTACAGATCCTCTACATCAATGGATATCCTTAGTAACTAGCTATACAATTAGAAATGCAAGGCCCACTGGCCATCTTTTGAAGCTCTTAACACTTGCCAAGAATGCGGATGAAGGGTTGATACAGAACACCATTTTCATCTCTGTATGAATAGTAACATCCAGCGACATAATGGCATTAATAACAATACATTAAAGATAATGATAATGACATGATAAAACGTTAAAAGGTCAAATTAACAAATATAGGATTAAATTAAAACGGACCGGATTCGCCGTAATTAGGTGATTTCAACTCTCTTCCTTGTCGGTTTGTACACTTAATAGATCTGTCGGCATCCCTCTGATTTATATTTTTGAGTTACTAGTCATAATCTCCTATCGCATTCAACACACACACTCACACACTGTCTATCCACTCAGTAATCGCACTGCCGTGGGAGGCCGGTGTCCGACTTCCCTGATTCACATGTATACGTGGGCGTTTGACGGAAGGAGAGATCAGAGCGTCAAGCAGGAGTGCAATATCATAGACAGGACATGGGTGGCTGGTCCGGGATAAAGGTGCTCAAGTGCAAAGGTGTTTGTATTGCAGCCGAGTGAGTGAGTATGTGTGTATATGTGTGCAAGCATGTGTGTGGTCAGGTCAAAGGGATAGAGAGGGTAATGTTAAATCACTTCCTCAGATTTTGATGTCAAACTCAGTCACCAGCAGGGGCGGAGGTGTTCAGGAAAAAGATGCAATCGCTGCTCGAGGCAAAGCAGATATGCTGAGGAGATAGAGAGCTAAAATTGGAGCAGATCCTTTGTGTTCAAATTTGAATTCGGGTCAAGTTCAAACCATCCTCTCGTTTGAATCCGTGTCAATCACCCTGAAAGGCTGCTAGGCTGACGGATCTGCACTTTCAGCACCACGGAGAGCACCGACATGGACGGCTTGATAAGGAACACATGGAAGTGTTTGCAACCAACCTATTTCTCTGAGCTACTTCCCACTTGCTAAACCCCAAGTAAAACTGGTCAAAGCTGGTAAACAGGTAAAGGCCGGAGTCCCCACTGGGTGAAAGCAGAATCCCCACTTCTGGTTCCCAAACGTCTGCCTTTAAATGAAACCAAGTCTATTTACTACATTTTGTGAACAGCTAGAATAACTTTCCAATGGATCCCATGTTATGGGAAAGTCTTAATAAATAAACGGGATTTCCATTTTGAGTAACATATAGCCGCATTTTACCTACCCTGTGATCATTTTCCTCTGCTTCGATTTATTATTCAATCCCTTGTATGTGTCCTGAACCACTGTGCATTCCCAATGTGCTCTATTGAAAAATAAACAAACCATAAACCATCATGTGCTATCACCAAACTGGCCTCAAACAGCAAAACAGTTTGGAGTCAACAACTCAAAGTCCCACGGAAAACCTCTTAAAAGGACGCAGCTTATGATGCCGTGCATGGCTAATGGCTTTGTCCTATGGTATGAATTCAGGTCACCGTTCACATACACACATTCATTCAAGCAATGACACATGTTTAGAACCATACGGAAGCAATCCCCAGTCTACATGGCACAAATTACGGCCTCAGGTGGAAAAGACCACCAAGACGAACCCGTGCTGTTTCAATCTATCAAAATCATCAGGAAGAATGAAAGTGTGACTGAATTGTTAAAAAAAATGGAAGCCACTTGGCATAACGAGTTCATGCTACCGCTGTTGGTCATGTTTGATATGTTCTAGACATGGAGCACTGTAATTTGTTTACGGAGTTCAATGGAGTCTCAACCTCAGATGAGGGGTGCAAATGGCACCGTGATGTAGTGGGCATCATCATGTAGCGTGGCCTCAGACAAATTAAGCAACCTTGAATCGTCCATGAAATTTAAATAAAATTTGCATATGACCACAGGGAAACTTCATAATCAACTCTAAACGTCTCATTCATAAAACGTGGCGCACAATAACCTTTCGCTCTTTATTTGGGCAACACTAACCTCGGACCGTTACCAGAGACCTTTTGTGGCCCCAGGCTCTCCTTCTCCAAATGAAGAAGGAGTAAAGGAGCAGCACTCATGTGATCGTGAACTCTATTTTGATTTCCTTCTTCAAGCCTGAATGCCTTGATTACAATAAAAAAAAGTCAAAGTTTATTGGGGTAAAACCCTCAGACTTTCCTGTCGGCTAAACCACCTAATCTTTGTTTATTTATTCCTTTTCCACATGTTCTTAACCTTCACGTTTCCTTTTAACTCAAATATTTCTCTGCAGTCCACCCCAAAAACATTTTCACTTTTTTCCGCAATGGGCATGAATGGAGTATGAATATGTATGCTGGAGAAGGAAGGATATTGCCTATGGTGAACCGCTATGCATAATGCAGCTTTTTCTGTCTCATCTACATTCATTCAGACACACACACACACACTGAGATTTATCACGTGCATAGAAAAACAGGGCTATAAATCCCACCTCTCCCACCCTCTCTCACTCGTTCTCTCCTTCAAACGCATACAAAGTCACATAAACACATTTCAGATTGCATATGCGTTCATAATAGCCAGTAGATGTTCTGTGGTGAAACATGTAGCACTACAGATAGCAGCACACAAAACACATTCAGGCCTAATAACAAATGAAGCATTGAACTCAGTGGCAATACAGTCGTTGCCGTGATGCGATTGAGATATGCATTGGAGTTGGATGAAAATGTGTCACTATAAAAGAAATCATTTATAGCATGGTGTACTTCCACTGGGACAAACACTGTACTGAACAAAGAAAAGAACTAGATGACATGATGAAGGGGTGTGAACACGCATGCACACACATATACACAGTAAACATACAAGGGAGAGGTGGTCGTGGTTAACAACCCATATATACAATGGATGCAGTGTCAGTAAAGTAGCATTTGGAAATCTGCATGTCCCACTTTAAAGGGATGGTTTCTGTTGTTGAAGTGAGTGTCAGATTTGTCGAGATGTGTTTTTCCCCTATTCTCCCTCGGAGACAGGGCCATCAATTGTTTGATAGTAAGCAGAACAGGAGAGAGGGAAGAATCGATTGTGAGATGTTAAAGTGAATTTGTTGCAATCGTTTGTCATTCAAGACACGACTATCAATCCTTCTCCGTGCGTAATGGAGAGGGCGGTCCACCGGACACGACTGTTGTGCGCAAAACCTGTTGAATGAGCGGTCCGAATCCAATTCTGTAAGTGACTGCGTAGTTCATTTACGATGTTTTGGGGGGGTTAAGATCTACGAATGCGTGATGGCAAACATTAGAGATGGTTGGGATCGTTCTTTGAGTGGTGTTGCGTGACAACGGAAATAGGCTAAAAGCCCGATTATCCCCCGTACCGAGTCCTTTCGCGCGCTGTTGTTCGCTTATCAAATCTTAGAAAAGAAAAAAAATTGTGACTGCAAAAGTAGAAAGACAACCCTTGCCACTTCTTACTTGCCGCAGAAGTGTGAGACAAGTTAACTTAAGATGAACTAAATCACTTCGAATTCGTGGGACGCGACGTCTCAAGCAAACATGCATATGCGCACCTTTCAAGCTGGCCAAAGTACAACTCTCCTTTTTACTCGTTTTCAATCAAACAATCCAAAACGTGGAATCGAACTATATGTCAAACACAACTCAGTAAAAGCAAAGCTCTGATATTTGGCTAGCGAGAGAGAGAGAGAAACAGAAAGAAAGGGACTAAAAAAAAAGAAAAAAAGAAACGTCGATGTTGTTGTCACACTCCTTCAATCAGCCGCTAAAGCCTCACTTCCCAAATCCAGACGCAACAGATCTGAGTGCATCGTCAGGGTGTAGCCTGGTCTGACTCATACCGCAATTACTGGGCTTCCCCCTCCAAGCACTTCTCCTGTCGGGAATCGGTTCTGCTTTCACAATGTTCACACAGGCCGCCGTCTGCCACGCCACAGTTCGGCGTCACAGGCGGGTCTGAGGACCACTCAGGAGCCCCGCGTAAAGGGATGACAAAGTACGGGTGGTTTTAAACCAGATGAGATGTCCTGCTCTTCACACCTCGCGTGTGTTGAAATACTCTTGAGTGTCCACGTCGTTTTCTATCATCGAGGGGGAAAAATGAGCTGACATTAAATGCAATAAGTGGCATTTCATCGTATCAGATTGCTTTTGGATGGACACACGCACGCACGCACACACACACACACACACACACACACACACACACACACACACACACACACACACACACACACACACACTGGTTAAAATAAATGAATTAGCGAAACAAGGTGTTTGCTCTATTAAAAATTAAGTGGATACACAAGGGCCAAAGTGTTATACAAATGCGCAGGAACACTGGAACTATATTCAGTTTAATTCCGCGTGTGTGTTGCAGGAGGCTCTGTCGAGCGAAACTGGTTAAAACTGGAATCTCATTAATTGATGAAATAATTATAGCAACAGCTCTCACTCCATCTCGATCAATCCAATACTTGTTTTTCCCGGAACTTTATACAATTACTGATTGAAGCGCTTAAAATTCCACAGCAAAGAGACACGTCTGTTTATTTTTACTGATTAACAAATATTCTGTTCGCAGTAAACGTGTATTTTCTAGTTTCTCAGGCCATGTTCTGGCCCGTCGGGCCTTAAAGTAGATTCATACACACCCCTCGGCTGAGTTTGTCTCAATTGTATTTCCATAAAATGACAAGCAGCCTCCCAAATCATGACAAAGAAGAACGAGTGTATCCTCCCCCCTCCTCTCCCTCTATTTATCCATCTATCCATCTCCTCCTCCTCTCCGCACTCATGTGCAGGTGTGCTGATGTGCAGCCAAACCAAAGCAGCAAACTGTCAGTAATAACCTAATGAATGTCGAATTAATGACAGAAAAGGTATAGAGAAGAAGACAAAATTGTCTTAAAAACGTGCAATGGTGTGATCTGAAATGTATCATCCTTCTGATGAAGCCGATGAAAATAAGCAGACGTGTGTGCCATTCTAGGAGGCGCGGCCGGACTGGGAAAATACGCAGTACTAATGCATATGCATGTATGATAATAAACCCCGCTTCCGCCCTTAAAATTGAGTTTATCAAAAATTACACGTATCTGAAATTCATCGCAGCCACGACACAAAACAAATCACAGTATATTCGTGTGAAATTACTGGAGCATGGCGCTGAAAAACAACGGAAAATAGAAGTTTGTTTTCCACTGCGTTATCTACATCTCTCGCATTTCAAGCACTCTTTCCGCTCCAGTGGCTGTTTACCCCCCCGCCCCCCTTCAACACACGCACACACACACGCATACACACTCAGTACATCTCGTTCAGTCACGGGACAGGGCAACGTACAGTGCGTATAATCGAAATAGACCCTGTAATCCAATTACATACAACAAAAACAGCACCGAAGCCCCCACCGCAGCTGCAGCTTGGCAGAGGGCACTGCCAAGGCCAATGTTGGAGACAAGCGCCATGAAACACACGAGCTGCCCCCAATTATAAAGAAATGCTCACGTTATTTCAAATGTGTACACTGACAAGGTTCATAATCCGGCGTCTTCTCTTTTAGATCAGCGATTAAAGGAAAGTGAGGAATATAAAGTGTACAATAAAATATGTTTATCTTAAAACTAAGATGTAATGCTAAAATGTGTTCTCCACCGTGTGGTTTTTGCAAAGTGGAAGAAAGCCATTGTACCGAAGAAGCATCGCGAAGTGAATCACTCTTTTTCCATCTGCAGTATTTAAAGCGGAGCTAATCAGTAGTGAATCTGATGCCACAGAAAATGGTGGATGAATAATTAGGCACGATGACAACTGAGTCTGCATACAGCAACACTGCACAGCCTATTACAGAAAACAAACACATACATGGCCTCGTCTTTTAAATATCCAACTTATCTACAAATGACAGGCCAGCGCTCGATATCCCCCGCGTTAGTTCACACATCCCTCAGAAAATAGATAGATATATAGTCTATTAACCCCCAGGGGGAAATGTGTGATCAAATGTATTGACCCCTGTTGCCAGAGAGCCGCACGCAGGCTCACGCACGCAGGGCCGAACCGGTGCATGTGCACTATTTGAGTGCTTCGTCCCAAAAAATGGCTTAGAAAAATAATGATTTCCTCCATCTTCTACCCCCCGTCCCCACCTCTCCTCCTTCTACCTCCCTACAAGCACTCTCACATGCACACGCACTCACTCACTCACGCACACACCAACATCTTGTGTTTTGCTGGGACAGGGCAGAGGAAGTCGGAAAAATATTAAACTACTTTTCCCACTTGGACTTTTGCAAGTGAACGGCCTGCAGCTGCGGCCGGCAGCAGCGCTCGAGGTCGCCCGCCGGCCGGCGCGCGCGCCCGCAGATCCTTATCAGCCTCTCCGCCGATTCAACAGCCTCCATATTCACGACACCTCCACGTACTCATCGTGCAAAATGCAAATGCCCTTTTCACTCTAAATAACGCTATGTGCACGTCTGATACCTATATGGCTTGGCTGCTCTTAGCCCGAATTAAGTTAATATTCATTTTTAGACTCGAGCTTTTTTTAATCGTTTTTAATCATATGATCAGCTAATCATGATGAGACGTTGAGGACACAGGATACATCCAAGCACTCGGCGAGGAGGAAAGCGACAGCTGACCAGGAAAAAAACATTTTAAAGCTTTAAGAAAAAGTTACCAGTCCTCTTGCCAAGGTGCTTTGGGGTTGGATTTGACATCTCTGACCCCTCCTTTGTGAATATATTTCAATAAAACATTACATATCCACCCGATTACATACTTAATACGCAGAGCGAACTTCGGCGTTGCACTGAGAGGAGGAGGAGGAGACGGCATGCAGACAAGAAACACTTGAAGACAAAGATTGTCAACCCACCTTCTTGCAAAGAATACAGCAGAAGTAAAGTTACAAGCCACATGCCATTAAAAGCAGTTATATTTCACAGGAATGTTGTGCAGTCCCCCGAGAAGAGTGCACGGCGCAGCGGTCGGCCAGGCGAGGCTGCGTGCTGGACTGGTTCTGCTGATACACCCCGGCGGTCTCTCCAGCCCTGGTCCCGCACTCTCCGGCGCCGAGAAACGAGCCGCGGAGAAAGTACCGCCTCTGCTCCCCGTTCCCTCCTCCCCTCGACGGGACAGGCTGCTGTCGCCCCACCCCCGGCATCCTAACGCAGCGCCGTGATGGATAGCTGATATGAACCAAACGGAAGACCGCACGCTGCCTCCCGCATTACGCGCGCTGGATATATGCTTTAATCCAACAGTTTAACGGAGTTCCAAAGACTAAATGCACCACCGTACATGTCATGTAAATGTTGTTTTCATATGTGGAAGTAACAAAAGGAACCGTTGGTGGAGGAAAACGCATGTGCGCATTCATCATGCAAATAAACTCCAGAATTTCCATAAACCAGTTGTCATAACCCAAGCACCCTTGCGCACAAATAATAAAAGTCAAATAAACAGAATGTGCACTTGTAAAGTGTTAAAGCACATGGGCATTAAGCAGTGTGCAGGGAACAAGCGCAGCATCAAGCTGCAGCCTCAACTTCAGGTGAACGTGCGCTGCGCTCCGTTCCCACAAACTTAAATCAATACATGACAATTCATAAAGAATAGGCGGCGTATCACCAATTAGCCTAACGTAAAAGTTGTGTGTATACGGTAATCAATATTCAATAAATTCATTAAATTTGACTCATCAATCATCTTCGATGGCCAGATTATTCCCTGTTCCAAAGCGTTTACCCTAACCCTTTAACTGTCACCTATTTTAAGCATTTAGAAAAACCCAAACATTCATATACATACTAATGTATCCTTAAAGAATATGTGAGTTAGTCTGACTGCAAACTACAACATTAGAAAAGAACAACATGTGCAGTCACGTTAGCACATAAACACCAGACTGAAGGGTTAACCGTTTTATATATTAAGTTATGTATCATAATATGGGTCTGTTCATATGCCGCAGTGAGAGTGGATGTCCCACCAGATGGAGTGTCAATACCACTGATTGATCTAAATCACTTTCCTATTTCACTTATACTGACCCACATGACCTCAGACATTCCTACAATGCTTAAAGCTGTCTCAGTCAGCTCTATCCTAGATAATCAACGCACAATAAATACCAACGCAAAGATGATTGTTGTTCGTCCATTTAAGACCGAGCACAAAATCTCTAATGGTTGTCCGTAGCACAACTCACACGACATCGAACACCTTCTAATTGACAGTTGCGTAACCAAATGTAGTCCTGATTGTGGATTTCAGCCAAGGCAAAGACAGGATGTGGCCTCTCTCACTCCCACTGAAGAGCCGCTGTGATGTGGCAGGCAAGGCAGCACTCTGCCTCCACTCTCCTGTTATGCAACAGGTGGATGCACACACCCCCACGCACCCTCTATATCGCTTTCAAACAGACCCACTAACCTGCACGTACAAAAACCACAGTACAACGAGGGCACGTGGTGTGCACAAAATCACCTCTGTGGCAAATACTGTACATCGAGATATGTGCTCAAAGATATATTTACAGATGAACACTTTTCAGCTCTATGCAGAGTGCTGTATGGTGAGTGAGCCTCTGGTTTAGATACTTTCAGGGAATATAATCAGCTTCAAGTATCCTCTCCCAATGGCAAACTGGTCAGATAACAGCACCCAACACCATGACACTCGAACCAAGCTCCTCACACACAGAGGTCCTACCCTGCAGCAGTGCATCGTAACACTTGAAGGACTCACTCAAGACATCAAAAGGCAGCGGGGCAAGCTGGTTAAGGGGCTGATGTGAGTCAGCCTGACAGCACCAGACAGGTTGTACTGTAACATCAGCCCGTGATCATCATGGAGCCTGACAGGCTGAGCCGGGCCAGCAAGGCCAGAGAAAAGGCAAGCAGCTCCCAGACAGCTAAAGCGTCCGTCTGTGAGGATGGGACCCAGGACAAGCTGCCACACACCACTAAAACGATCCGCGGTGCTATGTGACTCTCTGAAAATAGGTGAGTGTGGCAGTAGACGAAAAGAGAGCAAAGGGAGGGGGGGGGGGTGAGGGGCAAACACAGAGAGAGTAAGAGGCGGATAATTTAATGTGGATGTTAATGTTACTGCTCAGACAATCAGAGCTCCCCCTCAGGGCCCGACTACATGCTAGGATCATATTAGCGCTAATGTATCCACTATTAATGCACAAAGGCAGCCCAATGAGACCCTAGCAACGACGTAGAAATCACTACAGGAAGGGGGCTCGTGGTGCTACTGCTTCACGCAAGGTCACAGGGATCAAAATGGGCGAGGGCAGTGAGCAGCACGGGTAGCGCCGACGCTGGGGCATCGCGACTGGACGAGTTGGACCAGGCAAATTGCTGCATGACGGATCAAACGGAGCCGTCGCGTTCCTTCAGAACCTCATCGAGGCAGTGCCAACAGATCGGAAACGCAGTCAACGCCGAGCGACGGGCTGCAGGACTCCTTCCCCTCAGTGGGGGCCGCCCGGCGAGCTCCGCATGCCAGCGTGGGAACGAGCCACTGCATTAGGCCAATATGAATCACACGCCACCGTGCCGCAGTGCATTAACGGGAAGGGGCCGAGCAACGGAGTGTGTTTGCCTTTAAACCAGGCACGCGCGATTGTTGTGGCAGATGTGTGAGAGTGTATTAGCAACTCGGAAGGGTGTGCGCGTCCGCGAACGTGCGTCTACATGGACGGCGAGGCGCAGGACACGCAAAGCCCAGGCTGCTCCACCGCCCCACAGTCGCATTTGTGACTGCGTGTTTGCGTGAGCGCGTATGTGCATTTTTGCTACACACACACGAACATGAGACTTCAAGGGGCGCTAATTTATTCAAATGAGCTGGGGAGGATAACGAGAGGATGGGGTGAGGGGCGGAGGTGGCGTGTGGGGAGGTGGAGGGGGGAAGGGGGTGGGGGGGGGGGGGCACCTTCTTCAACTGGAGGTTTGCCTCTGTGTTTTTTTCCTCCCCACTTTTTTTTCCACGTTGGCAAATGAGACTATTTGCATGGCTGAGAAGCAGCGGGGCAACGGAGACGGGGGGAGGAAGAGGATCCCATCTAGAAGAGAAAGAAAAAGAAATTGGAGATGAGGGTGAGATTCCAAAACAGACAGAGCGCCCGCAGACAAAAAAACGTACCGCGCCAGGGCGATACCACCACTTCCAAGATGGCTGCCGCTGGAGGCGTCCTCTGCGGGACCAACCGAGAGACCCGTCGCTCCCGCTCGGTAGTGGGTGACACACAAGCACACTTTCCGACTTTGATCGCGTGTTCATCGAGCATGACGAGCAGAGTGAAAGTTGAACAGCTGGGTAAAGGATTAACATCGATGATTTAAATTGGAATGTGTTTGAAGACGCAGTTCGATGAATATGGCGGTGCCTTGTAGAGATATTGATCAGAGATATCTGGTGACACCCAGTGGTCACAATTAAAGATGTTATCATTGTCAACTTACTGAATTCACTGCATGGACTGATATTTACATTTTAATTCGGGCAAACTATCTGATGACTCCAAATCAAAGGATCGGCCCCTGGATGAAAAAGGCCAAAAGTCTAGCCTGCCAAATTGAATTCTTTCTCTCTTACAAGATGTTTCTACTTTTAATGAGTTACACATATAACTTGATACTTTTAGAGTATTTAGTAACTCTCGAATGAAATGAAAAAAAATGTCCAACAAAAGTTCGCTTTTTTCTTGAAAAGACGGGATTTACAAAACCAGTTGGGGAGCCAGTCAGCCCGGCTAACTCTGTTAGCACTAACAGGTGAATCCGCTCATGGTTGCTTTGTTATAGCTGGATTAATGGAACACTCCAGTTATTAATGTGCATATCCTTGTCAACACAACAAGCAGATCTCTTCATGCAAGTGTCTTAAAAATACTCAACATAATTTAGTAATATTCTGCGTGTAAAAAATTACATTAAACTGTAGCGAGCTTTGGGACAACTTGTACAAAAAAGCATAAATCAACTATCGTTTACACGCAAATCTATTCACTCCTGGTCCGTTACATCACTTTAAGGTACACTGATGCGAGAGAGCTTGTGAGAGGCCGTTGTCAAATTTAGCTGAAGGGGCAGATTTTCCACCTTGACCCTCTGTGCTCAGATCTTATCTTCACTTTCCCACGGGTTAACACTCCTGTACCTTACTGGTTAACGTGTTTCACAGACAGCCACACACAAGCTCGCACACTACCAGGATGCACACGCAACGAAACTAATGGAAATAAACATTAAAATGGTGTTGTGATTGCTGCCAATTGAGGAAAGGCTTATTTAAGTGTTATATTCCTCAGTTTATGAACATCATTCACAAGATGAGTCACAAACCAGGTGATTATAACTGATTTGTGAACACGCAGCGACTGAGGTCGGCCGGAGGGAACATTCATTTGAAGGACAACTCTGTGCATATTCTGTGCATATTCCATATGATAATTTTGTGTAGATCTCTCCTATTACAAGTCAATTCAAAAGATGGGACATCACTGCGGGCAAAGGGTCCAAAACAAAGACACAATAAACTCCTGTCTGAGTAGTGTTAGTTAAAACTACCTCAAATTTTTTTAAACTATTCAGACCAGCTTTTGAATATGTACATGCAAGTACGAGAATCCAATGAGCTTATGGCTGAGAGTCAGGCGGTTTAGTGCAGAATTGTCGCAATGAATATAGATGATATAGCAAATGTAATTAAGTTAGGTTTATACTGAAACATACAGCAAGAATTACGAGATAAAGGACATATCCCACAAAAACCCAATGTCTCGATCTCTTTGTTTCCCTCGGTCTCAGCAGATACCACCCGAGATGCTTATGGGAACGGTGGCTGACCACCACAGCCCGCATTTGTTTGCGTGTTGTTCTCCAAAAAGTTCTCGCGGCGGTGTGATGCTATCAGCCAGTGAACTGCGTGATGAATGGCTTCCCAACTGAAGCCCTTATGGAAAGCAGATGAGACCTGAGACCTGAGCCCTGAGGGATCCGACCGGTAAAACCGCCTTCTTCACTGCTGGCGGCTGCATGTGCTGACTTCCATAACAGCTTGGTCCTTCATGTTTCCCACTGATTCAAGGGGCTGAGTGGAGTGAGAGTGTGTGTGTGTGTGGGGGGGGGAGATAGGAGGTCCTTGGGACTCACCCGGCTGACAGCTCCTGTCTCTGCCCGTAGCGACTTATTTATTCAGGGATAATTAATCAGGTGCGGTTTTCTGGCGGGGTGATTAATGCGCTTTGTCAGGCGTGCAGCAGCGGCGGGAATACGCGCTGCCACGTGGCGCCGCCGCCGCTCGGCTTCGGCTCGCGGGACGTCCCGTTTCACGTAGTGAACGCACCTCCACGTGGGCCCTGTATGCCAACGACAAAAAACGCAACAACAATACCTGATGTGGTGGCCAGCTGCTTAGTTACAGCAGCTCATGTGACGGTGCCCTTTGAGTTTTGTTTTTTATCTCTGATGTCATCTTTAGCCGTAAACTTTCTCGCACCGTTGTCTTAATGTAAAACCTCTGATGCACTGAACTCACGTTTCATCTACCGGTTTGTTTTCCACAGTATCTCGGCTCATTTGGTTCCCCTCTCTTCGGCCAGCAGGGTTCACTTTCCCGTCGGCCCGAGGAGGAGAAGTCGCGGGGCTTCTTCCTGTGCTCATGTTGGTTCATTGGCGCCACCTAGTGAGCGTTGTGGAGACTACAGGTCAAATGGGCCGTATAACATCCGCTTTTAGCAGAGGAAGCGCTGAAATAGAGTTACTAAAATTGGGTGCAGTATTTGCTTAAATGCTTAGACAAGAAGAAGTCCCCTTGTGGCCTTGGGAAGCCCCTAACACGTGACTGAAATCTGAGGGAAGGAACGTGTGAGAACTTTCAACAAGGTGGATTTCTGAGACGAGTGGTTCCTCTTGTATCTATATTATGTTATCTGTACTTAAAAGTATTCCTATTTTTATTCAATATATGTCTATCTTACATTTACAGTTACATTTTTTATTGCATATTGGGTTTTATATAATGATTATATAGTATGTACTTTGACATTCTTGTGGTCTCATTTTTATATTTTAAGCTTTATTTAGTGTAATTTGACTTGTCACCTGATTGGAGTTGCTAATGTTATTTTTTTTAGAGAAAATGTCCAAAATAAAGCTGTCAATCTGTCAAGCTGTCAAGGTGTTATAGTTAATACGGAAGGGAGCATATTTATTAATTCATTTATCTTAAGTGTACATTTACATTTTCCAATCCAGATGGTCCAGTAATTATGTCTAACATAGTAAACACGACAAGATTGGAAACACTTTATTAGTACAAAAGTCTCATATCCTTACACACATAACAGCATTTTGGCACAGTGCAGCACTCTCCTTGGTTCCTGGCTGGTTCTGTGCAGTTTAAACATCTTCAACAGGTTTGGGCTGGAGAAGATACGCAAGGCAATTTGGATTTCATTTGTTAATCATTTTTTGTTTTAGTTTTCAGTTCATATCAACTGTTAAAAATAGATTCTCACATTTAACCTAAAATTATCATTTTAATTTAATTATTTCCATAGCCAACAGGTGTCACTTTAGAGCTGGATTTAATTTCCCTTACCTTGGATTTGGATTTGCCACAGCTGGTGATCTTGTTGCCTTTAGTTAGAAACAAGATTAAGAGGTTATTTTGTCCCAAAGATCACAACTATCGAGCTTTTCTTTCAACGAAGCTGCTGCTACACACACACACACACACACACACACACACACACACACACACACAACTAAGGTCATATTCTCTGTCATACGCAGTTTTGTCTTCCGTCACTCTTCAAATTCCTGTTTGTGGCTGTTGCTCAGCTGTTGACTTACCTGCCAACAGAAGGATGGAAAGGAACACAATGACCCCGGCGAAGACCAGACCGGCGACACGAAGTGTGTGGTAGTCTACACAGATACGTAGAACAATGTCAACACACGTCTTTCATTGTCTCTTTCCTTTGCTTTCCTTTGGACCTTTTTCATTTGTTCCTTCAATTTCTTCTCTTTTTAGAGCACTGGCAGAAGTTTAAAACGTTTATTTAAAACAATTTTATTCACTCAGACACACTTTGTCCACAGGTTGTAGTTACTTACCATATACAAAGTCTGCATCATAGTCGATTTCTGCACAGTAAAGAAACACAGTAAACATTTAGTAATTAAACCGAAACGTACAGTCGCTGCAGAGAAATATTCTGAAATCCTTTTTCAATCAACTCAGAAATCAACTCTTGATCATTAAATTGATCCAATTTGTAGTGATACTAACACATTACCAGGTGAATGGCTCGCTGTATAAATACATTATTGGTCCATTTCTTGCAGTGTTTTTTTTAACACAGACAGCGAGCTGTTTTAGTGTAGTTTCAGGTCGGGTGCAAATCAGCTTTAGAAGCACAAATGTTCCAACACATTAAAGCAATGTAATCTGTTATTAACGCCCACAAGCACCGGCTGATTTGGTGAATATTTGCTGTAGCAAAATGCTAAAATGAGAAAGTGAGGCTGCTGGACTCCGGCATGCCGATGTTACCCAGAGGGTTAAACATTCACAGGTAATAAGTCCACTGTGCTCTACCCGGTACTTTTTTGTTGTTGCTCAACTCTGAATCAGAAGAAGTCACTCATATAGTGTCATATTAAAGTGGCTCTTTCGCTTGTTTGTAGAAAAGCAGCAGCTCAGGCGCGGCGTAACTTACCTGGATGAGACATGATGCCTGGTCTGTTTGTATTTTCTTTTTCCAAAACTGAGGGGACATAATGCAGCAACAACAACAACAGTTAACAAAAGACAAGTGATGACAGCCGGTTGCAGCTGGTGGTCTCGGGGCGATTCAAATAATGACAATAAAAGTATTCACCATCAAATTTGGTATCTCAAATCTGTTGTTGGCGGTGAGGGATGTGTGTGTGTGTGTGTGTGTGTGTGTGTGTGTGTGTGTGTGTGTGGATTTGGTTTCAGTGTGCCTCCATTTAAATTAGATTTGAGTCTTGTAGAGGCTCGTTTAAACGGGCTTATTCACTTCAAATGAGAGGCAGTTGAAAGCTTAGAAACTCTACGCGTCCTGATAAATTGCCTCCCTGGCTTACCCCACTACAGATTTAAGAGCAAAGTGATTGCGTTGCTCTTCACTAAGAACTTTAACAGGCTAATGCCGATATTGATCCTCGTTACACCCCCACTTCTCTCTGCAACCTTTACGTGCACACACACACACATACACAAGCTTCTCGTTTGATCTACATCTCCTGACCTATAATCATTAACCTGCACAGATTAACAGACTAGAACTGTCACTTGCTGTCTCCTTTGAGTTGAAGCATGCCACTGTGAATGGTGGACCTCAGTGCTTTCATTCATTACGCGGCTGGGCCTTTTCTGGGCACCACTGCGCATAAGACCATATCGGGACAGTTACTCATTGATATATTACAGCTCCAGTAACCATTAACCTTCAACCTTGCGCAGTTTTATAGAGGTTACAGGTGGGTAAAGGAAAAGCAGCCGTGATGACACCCACATAATACGGGAGAAATTAGACGCAATGATTTGGGCGGATAACCACACCACCCCTAATATGCAGTTACATCAATGTTATTATATTTTTGTCCGATGAGTTGCAATTAACAAGACCAATGACAACAGAGAAATGTTCTTGCCAAGCCACTTCCACAACAAATAGTAATTAGAACTTGTGTGTTTTTATATTTTGTATCATTAAAAAACGGAGAAAACATGGGAAGTTAAACCATGCACTGTGCGGATGACAATATCTGTTTGACATTAACAGTGTAATGATCTTTATAGCAATTTACAGAAGATAAGATGCATACAACTGATTTATTTGTATGACAATCTACTTAAATTCATTATTCATTTCGAAATCAAGTTTTTACTTACATGAGTGGCCGACGACTCTGTATTTCTTCCGCCAAGGTGTGTGTTGGTGTCCTCTTCTGTGTCAGGAGTAGGTGCTCCCTTCCTAACAGATCCACCCTCCAACATACACACACACACACACACACACACACACACACACTTCACCTCTGGCTCTCCACGCCCACAGCCATTTTTCAGTCTCACCGCTCATTTTCATGTTTACACAATCTCATAGTTTGTACTCTGATGCCAATAAATAGCGTATCAGCCAACCTTTGGAATCAGATATAGTGTTAAAGCACCAAGCAGCAGCTCATTATCTTGACGGACACTGATAGAAAATCATTAGATTGATTTTGAAGTGATGTTTTTCAGGCATAGAGACCCTCAGGAGATTTGAATAGAAAATGTTACTCCTACAGTCTGGTCTTCATCTAATTGAACACAAATGCACATCTTTTGAATTCTTAGACACTTTTATTTGTTTCTGCAAATAGCACAACAGGTGGCTACACAACAAGGCCTCATGCGTAAAATGACCATAGCATTTAAGTGTACAGCAGCTACCTTTAAAACACTCAGACTTCACAACAAAGATTGGTCATTTCTTCTCTTGCTAGGATTTAGCTTGCATTATTATTGTATTCTTGCACACACATAATGTCGATTTCACATATCACGTCTGTCGGAAGCATTTGCTCTCTTTCTCAGAAATGGGCTATATACTATATGGCCACTCAAAGCATAATGGCACCAGAGAGCCTGAGCAGAACATTTAATACACAAACCAAAAAAGAAAAAAAAAGTAAGCTGCCCAGACTTAGTATAATTGCAGCTGCACTAGCGAGTGTGTGCACGGGAACTAATCATAGTCTGCTGGCGAGTAGGTAACCCTGACGCAGCCGGTGGCGGAGCGATGAAGTAGAGGTGTGGAGAGGAAGGCAGTGAGACAGCTGAGGCGAGAGCTCCCTCCGCTGTGGATGGTCAAACACTGCAGCGGAGGAGCTCACGCAGGTACCTGCAAACCGTTACTGTGCTCCGCCAGAGAACTGTGGCAGTTGAGATTGTCTTTGATAAGGCTGATCACATTAATATGTAGAGATACACTTGCACTTGTGATGTAAACACAATCATATGTACAGGATATGCACACATTATACCCACGTGGGAACACAAACAAACCATTTAATGGCATACCTAAATGAAGCATGTTTAACAAGATGTTCTATAAGCTACCTGTATTTATATACTGTATCATGCTTACAGTATATTCATAAATGTTAGAATCCAATTGTGATAAACATTATCCAGGACGATTAACAAAATACAATGACATATTCTAAGACCTAAAGGCAATAAATATAAATACAAAACGAAGAACAGCAGACCACAGAACGTTAGAACTTCTTTTCAGGATTCAAAGACAATCTGGTGTTGAAGGTGCTACTGGCTAAGACAAAGAACCAGAGTGAGAGTCACAGCAAAGGCACAGGAACAGACGAGAGCACTGAGGGACTGGCACGGTCACAACGGCGCACAATGGGCTAATGGTTTGTGTCAGAGGCTCAACTTTTTTATAAATAACACATATTACCCCTATTAACATGTATCTCCCCTTTTACAGCTCCACACAAGCACTTATAATAATCACCCATCATCATTTTGGACGGCAGCTCAGTCCGGGGGAGTCGCCTCAGTTCTCTGCTGGTGTCTCTTTTTCAGCAGCTGCAGCTGAAAGGTCGAGGACGAGCTTTTAAGCAAAATGAAACTTGCCCAAATATTTCTCTTATTGCTTTTCTTTCTTTTTCTCTTTCAGTCGATCACTAACATCCATGACTCAAAGGGCTGGGGACAGCCCTGCTACTAACTAAGAGTTGGTAATGCACACAATATTTAAGATTTCTTTCATACTGTTTGCCCCTAGGTGCATTTACTCAAAAAGAATCTGCTTTTTTTACAGTGTTATTGCTGCATTTATAGGAGCAAAACATCTGAATACTTATTTGTCTTTCTCCCAAATGTTGTTCTTTGAAATAAGTTAAGAGTAATTAACTTTAAATAGTTAATGCAAATACTTTTGGATTGTCAGTTTTAATTCCCTCCATCTATTCAAATCTACTATCCTATTCGATTGCAATCTCAGAACCAATTGGTTCAAAAGTGTTGCATTGCATTTGGGAAGAAATAGGGCAACAAGGAGGGTTTTTTAAACAGCCCATGCTTGAAAATACCATTAAAGGGACAGTTCCAAAATTGACAATTAGCTATATTTCCTCTGAGCTCTAAATCTAAGATCTTAGACCTTAGACCTAAATAAAGTGTATTTAAACTAAGCAGCTCAGCAGTCGTTTGAAGTTACGGATATTGTATGTTTCTTTCTCTCTCTCTCTCACACACACACACACACACACACACACACACACACACGTGCAGTAAACATGTGCGGACACACGCACACAGAGCAAATGCCCGTCTTCCACCCCTGTGCAACGGGCACTCCTAAAGGGAAACTCAATTATGGATGTTTGTGTCGCGGTGGAGAGGAGCTGACATGTGCATCTTACCCTTGGGGACGATCAGATTCTCCTCCGGTTTCTCCTCGTCTCTGGGGGCCCTGAAGAGAGGATCCACAGGTTGTCATAGTAACCAAATCATGTTTGAAAAAGATGATGCTAAACCAAGGCCTTGTTCTTGTTTCTTTGCTCAGTCAGAAAGGGACTCTGACGTACCCGGGCTTCTGGTTGATACTGCAGCGGCATCGTCGACCTAGAAATCGGGTAATCACTGTTAACAATGGTTCACTCTTACCCAATGATAAAAACATAGATATTTATAAGCACTCTGTATTATATTATAGAACCATTTATACAAAATAAGATGACAGGATTATAACACAGTTTGGATGTAACGATTCACTCAATTACTGATACTTATCTTTAATTGTGTTATAACATTGAAATCATTTAAAATAAAGTGCATGCACACATAATAAAATGACATCCACACAGAGAGGTTGACTTACTAAGAATGAGAAGAATGCCCAGTGTGAACAGCACCACGGCCAGTACTAATCCCCCAATCCGCAGGCTCTCATAGTCTGCACACAAAGAGGATGCCGGATTGAGAAACAATTTAAATCATTGTGCCATTCATTGCAAAAAGTACATGTATGTGTAGCTACTGGCCAGTGGTTTCAGAAAATACAGATTCATCTAAACTTACCATAAACAAATTGGTCTTCAACTGTTTTCTTGTCATCTGCAAAAATGTAATAGAAACCACATATTTAGTTTTTTAGTAATGTACTTATAAAACATACATTACTTTTTCTGTTGACATTTCACTAATCCCATGTTCCATTTTATGAGTAGTTTGACAACATCTCTGTGTTCTTTCTGTTAATGTAAGACTTATTTCTGGTGGCACATCTTGAGGTTGGAGGCAGTTTTGTTTCCGATAACATGGGGTTTGGGGGTAGCTTACCTCGGCCATAATATTATATCGCAATTGACCGTTAGCTTGCGTGTGTAGCCAGCTGAGCAATATTGTGGTATGGTAGAATATGAATAAATTGTTCATTTAAGCTTCATCCTCTCACGAGTGAAGGATTAAAGGGAAAGAGTGGACTGCTGCAGCTTTGTATCATTAACTAAGTCACTGACATTGTAAACGTCCTGAACTCAATGTACCTCAACATGACTATTCATTTTCCAATACTTGGTTGGCTATTAAGTTTGAAAAGGGATTCCTATCCTATTCCTATATTCCTAACACTACAAATTCATACATATATTTTATGTACGAACACGGCTTCTTTATCATCTCTCTTTCCTTCAAAACAACTACTGTTTCCTTCAGCAATGAATTTTGAGTCTATAAAAGAATCATTCCTGGGCTTAATCCATACATCTGACGGTTTGCTGAAGTGGAGTAATCCATAAAGAAGCGATTTTAATCTGGAAACCACTGTGACTGAACGAACTGTGTTTGACCCCGTTAGAGATGACATCAAGTGTACTCACCCTGCACAACGATCTCTGATAAAGCTGAGAGGCAGCGGAAAGAGGTGAGCGTTTGAGTCACAGAGTTGGAAGGAAAAGGCGGAAAGGACAAAGGAGAAATTACTTTCACTTGCAAACTATTAGTGAGAAATACGTCAACGCTTTATCTTTCTCTACATCTTTGCTCCGTCTGACCTTACGCTTCGAGCATCACATCGCCTACCTCCATTGTGTGACTGCATCACGCGTGTATGTGTTTAAAATGTAATCATACACTTTCAGCAGACGTCACGCACGCACACACACACACACACACACGCAGTCAGTGACACAGTAAACCCACACACGAAGCCCCGAAGCAGTAATTGATGTTTTTGCTACGAGCCCACACCCAGCGAGCGCCTCTTCCGTGTAACGTCACCGCCTCCCTGTGGGCTGCTGATACGTGCAAGCATGCGTGTTTGTCGGTCAGTTTGTGGGCGCTTGGGTGAGTTTGGGGGGGGGGACTTACCAGCCACACACACCAAGAGTGAGGAGAGGAAGAACAAAATAGTTTCCATGGCAACTGTTGACATAGAGTAATAATGAGGAAGGGCGAGAGGGAATGAAAGAGGGGTGAAAAAAAAAGGGCGCAAGAGGTTTGTTTTAGTAAGCTTCACTACCCAGGAATCAGGAATCAGGTACATTTATTGCCAAATTAGGACATTAGACATCCAAGGAATTGGACATGGCGGTTAGTGCATCACATTGGACAGTGGAACAATGAGACAAAGGATAACATGACAAAGTGCAGGAAAAATGTTCAAAAATGCTCAAAATGTTGAATTCAAAACAACACGACACAGCACAGTGGCACACATTCAATATTATATATGTAAAAGAGACAGTACTGGCTATATCCAAAACCTGCAAACATGCTCCTTCTCCTGCCAGAGATGACTCTCTCCTCCCTGTGGACATAACACACAACCTTGGCCTATTTCCATGTAGGCTAGGAAATGCAACTGTGTTTCCTCCCAAATGTAAGGCAGTAGCCATTTCGACTAACTTATCTACAAAATGTGCCCTATTTCCCCTATTATATCTGCGAGTGGGAACTAAACTGTGATCAACATAAACAAAGGAAACAGTGGTGAGCAATTGCGTATTCATCATTAATGTTTTTTCTGAGGCATAAAGCAATATGATTGGTCTAATTCCCCACTTAAAGCTGAAGTATACAGCGGCCTTAACAGGGAGTATTAAGAGTTATGGTTCAATGTAGGCAAAAGCAGATGGTTAACATGATTTGACAGCAATGTATTGATGAGTTCTGTCCAAGCTCAACAGTCAAATTATACTAAGTGACAAATCTGTGGAGAAAAAAAAAAGAATTCTCAGGTATCAAGAGTCAGGGGGCTTTACTCCTCTTGTTTAGCAGCGTCACCTCGCCGCCTACGCGGCATGTGGCTCTGTCTCAGTGATAATTCTAGTTCTAGAGGACATTTAAAAATTTCCATTATTAGTCATTAGCAGAGTTACCAGGACAGCAATCCGTCCCAGTTGTGGTTTCTATGTCGGCGCATCGTATATTTAATTTGTGTCATCAAGCAACCGACTGATAACAAAGACAGTTGTGATATAGTGTGGCACAACATCACAGCAGAGAAACCAAAGGCCTTTGGCCTCCATTAGGGTTGAAAAGACCATTAATATTTCCGGGTTTTTTTTGCATGAGATCGGTCACTTTGCACCATCGTGAGCAGCCCAACGCACTGGAGCAGATTGGTCGCTGTGGTGAAGTGAAGGATAAGCTGTTTAGCTATATTTGAATTTTAAATAACTTCTATTTCTGTTAAGACATTTTTATCTCTTTGTGTCTTACTCATCCTTAAAAAAAAGTAGGCCACTTGGAAAGGCTGAGGGGAATTGAGGTGGCTGAAACCTACCACAAACCCTTAGACACTACTGACACAAAACGGTTCCACATTTGCAGTATTGATCTTCGATAACCAGATTTTTTTTTATCTTCTCCTTATTATGTTTTATATTTGTCAAGACGTAAAGGAAATAAAGACAATAAGGAGATCACAGTAAACAATAAGGGTGTTTGGCACCACGGGCAGTGCCAAATGTTTCGAGCTGCTATCCAATGGCAGCCTTTCTCTCCCTCGGTATGTCACCTGAGCAGTTGACACTCCAGTTTCCTTTGACTGCTCTATTGTTGAGCAAATATGCAGTTTCACAGCCCTCCCCCCACACTCCCTTTGTCTGTGAGAGGCACAACAAGAAATGGACGGCCAGGGCGACTGTCCATGTTCAGGCTGCTTCCTGTGGTGTGTGGACAGGCAACAGGCCGGCTGAGAGACGCCCGGATGGAAGATGGGACACGGAGGGACAGAAAGTGTCTGGTGAGGGCAGACAAAGGGCCAGAAGAAAGGCACCCTGTTGCATGACAGTCGCATGGCCTGTATGAAATACACAGCATTAAAAATGAAGGTCAAGGAAAGGTGGCGAGGCAAAGGTGATGCAGGAAAGGAAGAAAGAGGGGACCGAGCGACAAGATGACACAACCAAAAGCAAATGAGAAAATAAAAGTGGCACCGGAAATCAACATATCAACAAAACCTTTCACCTCTTACTAGTTTAGGAAATGTGTCTCAGACAAGGTTAAGTTCAGCGATACAGACGAACATCTAAAATGGAGCTGCTTTAATGACTTTATGGAGAAAAGTTGTCAAGGTCACACCGCACAACCCACGTAACCCGCATTACCTTTGTGAAACCTGTCCCTCCCCCCCGACATCTTCGCAATAACGACCTTGCATCACCATGACAACAATGTGCATCGTTACGTAGTGTCCACTAATCCCCATGGTAACAGTCTGCACCTGAAAATATTCTCGCACCGATGGAGAAATGGTGGCGCGAGTTTGCACGTGAACCGGAGCGCAGGGCGTAACCACGCATCCTTCCAATCTGCCCCCCCCAAAAAAATATATACAGCAGACAATATGTAAAATATATGTCTCTTATGAACCGTTTGTTAAGCGAAACGCACAGGGGCTCTCTGGGTGCCCCCCGTCGACCCCCCAATGTCTAAACGGTTACACCCTTGGGCGTGGCACACAGTTTTTAATTCACAATTCACACGTTTCCACTCGGTTGCGTGGTTAAATTAATCTCGTTTGTTCTTTGTTTTTTTTTGTTCGGCGCCCGTTTAATTCTGTGTTCCGCTCCGACAACAACAAACTCAACATGGCAGCGCTGTATCCTCGTCATTACATGTCATGGAAAAAAAGATAATGGTCACAGTGGCACTTTGATTCAACACCCGATTGGTGACGTCCGCGCGTATTGATCCACCGGTGCGTCGTTCAACCTGTGGATCACCCGACGGAGCGGAGAAAAACAATGAGCCTTTCCTTTCCTCTCTGTAGCCGGCGGTGCTACCGCGCAAAACACACGATTTATATATATCTTTTTTTTTTATTTTTTATTAATTGACAGTTACGAGGCTGGCAATCAGAGAAAGTCAATCGGCCACCTTCCTTTTTGTGGCTTGTTTTTTGGCCACGCAACAAGGTTACAGTGATCGGTGGCCGCAGACCCTCCCTCGTTCCATTTTCCATGATAAACAAGGAGCTGGGAAACTGAGGAGCCCGCGGATCACGTCCATGGGCGTGTATGAACAAATACGTGCGCCTAAATATGGCAAATTGACTGATGATGGCGATTCATTTCAAATCCCAACCTACAAATGACACGATATATCTGCATCGGACTAAGTGCTCGAAACCAGCTTTATTATTCAACATCGTTATTATTAAAATGTGCGTCGTCTTTAGTGGCACCTGATGAATCACAATGAGAACTAAGAAATCAACTTACCGCTTGTTGGTCCAGGTCAACACACCTCTATCCAAGCTAAAACAACAACAAAAAATCAGACAGCTTGTGTCACAAGGCTGTTTTCAAATATGATCATCTGTCAATATGTGCACTGCTCACGTCGACTTGGAGCTGGAAAAATAGATGTGATGGATAACAATGTGACTCCTGAAGGGAGTGACTGCTTATTCGATGCTTCTCTCTCTCTCTCTCTCTGTCTCCCCCTCTCTCTTTCTCTCTCTCTCTCCCCCTCTCTCCCTCTCTCTCTCTCCCCCTCTCTCCCTCTCTCTCTTTAGCGTCATACACCCCCAGCATTGATTGTGTGATTGACAGCTGTTGATGGATTAACTCCATAACAAGAATCTTCCTTCATCTTTATTTGAGTGATGCTCAGTGATCAGTGAAACAACAATGGACATAAATGTGACATACAGAGAACACATACATCTCACGAGAATCATTTCTGTGAACCTTCACAGTGTGATTACAGGGGGAGGTTGAGATGCACGGACGCAGCAGCTCAGCGAGAGGGACAAGGGTCCCACTTGCTTCCTTCCACACAAAGTGTATATAAAGTGTCTTTTTCTACTTCATCGTGTGAGACAACAGGTCTGGATAGAAAACCCTGAGAAGTGTCTCAGGTGAAAAAAAGGTCACCTCAACAATCATAAATCGTGTTTAAAGAGTCTCATTTTCAAACAAACAGGGGAGATCACAGTGTAGCGGAAGTCTTGCTTAAAAAGAAAGTAAACAAAAGTATATACTTCATGACACCGAGAGGCAGAACATAATCAAGAACGCTGGACTCAGCCTGGGTCAGCGCATCGATTGGTGTGTATCAATAATCAGGTGCAAGGAGATTCACATATGAGCCGAACGACAGAAGATGATGCAGAACGCAAGACAGAGGTACACTGTTCACGTCATGCAATTCATCATGTTGGTGGGGTAGACCTCCAGCAGGGGACAAAAGGGCATCATAGTCGCTCTTTCTGTAAGGGGCACAGGTACAGGTGTGTAGATGGTGAACAACGGCAACCTTAATCCAAATGGGTTCAAGTGATTTGCACGTGTCCGTCGTTCCTACCTGCATGTTGCTGTAGATCCAAGGCAGGACACTGTGGACTCTGGTGTAAACGCCAGGCTTGTTTACATTACCACAGCCGGATCCCCAGCTTATGATCCCCACCAGATACCAACGGTTCATATTCTGACACACCAGAGGCCCACCGCTGTCACCCTGTCATAGTTCACGCACAGTTAGCTTTACGCTAAAAGTTAGCTGGATGTTAAAAGCACACTGCATATTCATCCGATGTCCCTCGTGATTGGCTGCTCACCTGGCAGGAGTCTCTGCCTCCTTTCAGGTCCCCGGCGCAGAGCATGTGATCGGTGACGGCGCCTCCATACACACTGCTACTGTTACACTCTTTTGTGTCAATGATGTCCACGGCCACTTCCATCAGCTCCTTGGAGACAATGCCTACGTTGGAGAAAACAAAATGCTCATTCATTTAGATTGCAAGGCTCTGAAATATGGCAGAAATAGTGATTGAAAAAGTGTTTATGGTATACAAATATGAATTGGTTCATTAATTAATTTATTTGTATGTGCATATTACTCATTCACTCAGTGTAAGTGTCAATAGGGAAGCCATTAATTTATTTCTGATAAATCATCCATGTTCGCTTAGGGGCTCCCTACATTCTTTTGCCCTTCTGGTGAAAGTAGATCACTGCAATAGACCACTGCCTGACTCCTCTCGCTCTTTAAGAAAGCGTGCATGTGTGCTCTTATACCTACTCTACTAGGGTACTCTACTATCCCTACTCTTTTTTTTAGCTTTATTGATGTACTCTCCAAAATACTCCAAATACATTGCCATGCATGTTTAATTTCGGTGGAATGGAAAAGAAAGAATGCTAATAGTAAAACACGGCTAAACACTATTAAGAAATGCAGATGTACCCAAGTAAGTTATCTAATATATAAACCGTGTTGTATAATATATTATATTTCCAGTAAACCCAACTCTATAAGTATACCTGATCCCGCCTCAGTGGTGCCAAAACCTGAAGTCCAGCACTGGGTTCCAGGGGCAAATTGTTGGTTGTAGGCTGGCAGACAAGCTGGCAGGATTTTATCTGGGAAAAAAAGATAAATATTTGACACAGCAGCAACAGTGTGTTCTTGAAAGGATATTACTATAAACCGATGCACAAACGCTCACTCAAACATAGTGCTCTGGGCAAAAAGTATTACTGTGGACCCATTCTATCCTCCACAAGGTCACATACTGTTTCACACATATTCCCTCGCAATTAAACCTATTGTTGGATTCCTTGACTGTTCTCTCGCTGCATCAGATTTGGAAGCTGAGAACTAACCAGATTCTGACCTTACAACAACATTCTGTGCGCAGCGTCTGCTATGAAAGCCTTTGCATTGTTTTTAATAAAACAAAGATGTAACCAACCGTTGTAATTAACTTGAGATGCCAGTTTGAGCAGAGCGACGTCCTGGTCATTGGTGTTGCTGTCATAGTTCTCATTGAGAATGATTCTCTCAACAGAGTAGGATGTGAGTACATCATTTAGTGACACAACTCCAACATAGGCTTTCCAGTTGTTGGCCAAAAGGGCAAAAGTGTTGCTTCTACAACACAGAAAGAGAATTTTTAATGGAAAGTAATGAGCACAAATAATTGTGAAAATGTTTGTATAATAATTGTGAAACCCTCAGCATAGAATACTTCTTTAAAACAATTAAAACATGTATATGTGATTACGACGTACAACACTGATATCGAGAAACGAATAATCACACATGAAGCCATAGAATACGTTGTAGGAACTATGAAGAAACAGATTTTCTCATGTAGTTCATCACCTTGGGAAGCAGTGAGCAGCGGTCAGCACGAAGTCAGGAGAGATCAGGACTCCTCCGCAGGTGTGGGAACCTCTGAAGCGCAGTGACACCTGCCAAGGCCAGTCTCCCACCGTGGCCACGTTTCCCCCAATAATCCTGGAGGTAGAAGCCTGTCGACCGCAGTCTGGGAACAGAGGGCAAAGTTAGATACTGCACAATACCAAAGAAACAGCTAACACGTCCTAAAATGAGGGGGAGAGAGAATTCTATATGAATGTTTACTGGGTTTAGGTGACTTGTCAAAATGGTCATTGTGATGTTTGAAAGAATTTATCAAATAAAACAGGCTGCTGTTTTTTTTGTTTCATATCCTCCAATGCAACACAAAGCACTGATGGCTAGTAATGATTGAGGGAATGCCAGAAATAAACCATTGACAGGAACAGCAGATTCGAGGAATGTTGTTGACGGGTTTAAGTGGCTTTCATGCTACACTAGATATTTGCCATATTTTGTAAGAGGTGTCTCGTTATTTTTTTCTCATTGTGGAAGTTCAAACATGTCACTGCAACTTTGAGGTCTATCAGTTTGATTCCGATTTAAGATTCAAAGAAGACGTGTAGTACTGATTTCATAGATTTTATTAAAAACACACTACGTAATGTCAAGTGAATAACTAGAGGGGTCAAATAACTGGATTTGCAGTTAGAGTTGTACTGTGTGTGTAAGACATGGACAGAGAACGTGACTGTGTGTGACATGTGACGCTGCTTACCCACACACTGCAGGGAGACAGTCTCATCGCCTGGACAGGATGAGCTGCGTAACAACGGAAACATCATCGGTGCACAAAGAAGGGAAATGTATCGACAAGAAAAATATATTTTTTAACAACTTCCACGAATATTGTAGATATTGGACCAGTCATAAGCAGGTCGAGTACTTAGGGCCCGTCTCTTCGTTTTCGATTCCTTTGGTTGATTAATCATTTCTATCCATTTTCACACTATTTTCGGGGAAGCACAGTTTTACAGATCTCTAAATGACTAATTGATTAGTCATTTCTAAAAAAGCAGTAGTGTAATTCTGCTCAGAATTGTTTTGGTGGAGGAGAGCCCCATGCAGAAGATTGTTTACCTGACTTTAACCTGATTCTGGATCAGGGCAGATGAGCTGCTGTTCACTGCCAAAGCAGAGGACGGCTGTGTCCTAATTGCTTTGGTGGCATAGGACCTGGAGATAAAAGGAAAATTAGTTCAGAAAGCTGAAAAGATAAACTCGCCTACACAGAGAACGTGTTTCGTCAAAAACAATGCGTGATTGAGCCTGGAAACTCATTGTGCTTCTGTCACACTGATACACCCCAGGGGGACCCTGTGTAGAATCAATTCAACCCCAAACATAGAGCTGCATGGGAGAGAAATGAGATGGATCTCAGGGGTAAATTGCAGGTTAGAGACAGAAGCCCACATGAAGCCAAATTGGTTCCAGCGAAATGCATCGAAAAATCCGTCCTTCAGTGAAGTCTGAGTTGAATTTTGGAAACTGACCCGTGCTGTTTACTACACTTTTGCTTATATTGACAAAATCAGAGCTGTGTTATGAGTGATCATTCTTTACTTTCTTAATCCCAGTTGATCGCAGGTCAGGTCGGCGTATCTCTCGTCCCAGTCTTTGAAACACACTGGTAGGAAGCGGCCGTCTTCTGATGTCCTGACCTGCAGACGGTTGTCCTCTCCAAACCTCACTGGGGACAGCAAATGAAAAAGGACAACTCAGAAGGTGTATTTTCACTGGGTTAAGCTGCAAAAGTAACATGGAGACTTTTTGCTGTGTGCTGCTATTTTTACAACTGCAAACAATTACAGTAAAACTCAAATATTTAATATTAGTAAATATTTAAGCTACATTCTTGTTAATAGTAATACAAAATACAAAGCCTATACACAGACTACTATCCTCACCATCAAAGTTATTAATGAGCTACATTATTTTTAATTTTGAGGATTTCCTTTTTGCTGTCCCTTTATCCTTGTGCTAGTTTGGTTTCGGTGAGGTTTACTTGCGTGTGTGTGTGTGTGTGCACGTGTTCAGGTTCCTACTCACCACAGTATTTTTCGTCAGAGCCCAGTTTGCAGTCATTGATTCCATCACATTCAACAGTGTTGTTGGTGCAGGTGTCGTACTTTGGCAAAAGCACCTGATCTCTGTCCTCACTGGGATGGCTGTTGTAGGCTGCAACTGCTGCGATCCGGGTCCCATAACGAACTGTTTTTGGGATAGTAATAAGTGGAGTGTGCTTATATTGTCACAATTGACTAAATTCATGTAAACTTTAAATACGAACAGCAACATTCAGCTTAAATTAATAAATTACCCGACTCTCTCTCTCTCATCATGACCATCAGTTTAATATTGATAACTGTTTTAACTAATTAATGCATAGAAATGTTATCAAATTTGCAGTTTTTAAAAATACATTTGTTACACAACAACACAATTGTAACACAATTTAGACTGCCAATATTTTTAAAATATTAAAATAATGTTATTTTCTATATTGAAATAAAGCATTATGTAAAAGGAATAAATTATTCTTTCATCATAAAGAAAACTATAAAAAGACAAACAAATCCACTGTGTGGGCACAGGAAATGTGACTAATGGATACACTGCACCCAGTTGCTACATGAAGGATGTACATTAGCGCATGACTGCCAAGGACAATGGCCAGTGATGTTTCTGGATAAACACTATACCTCCAAGCCAGACGGCCAGTGCCAGCAACGCGATCACCACTAAAAATCCGCCCGATCCTCCGTACCACCGGGCACCAGCATTGCAGCATCTCTTCTTCTTTTGGGGGGCTGGAGTCAGACAATACACAAACACATAATTAGTAATTCTTGGTACGACTCAGTCTCCATTAGTCTGGCTGCCACACCGGCATCCATTGTGCTGTGAGGAAAGCGAGCTGCGGATGCCACTCACGTATGGACAGTTGGACTTGGGCAGGAGCCGCAGGGGGTCCATGCTGGGGGATGTATTGTGGATAGGCGGGCGGCGTCAGGCCTGGACCCACGCCGTACACCACCTCTTCGTAGGACTTGAGGGGGGGCTGGGTTTGCACTTCAATAGAATAGTAGGAAGGGGGCTCGTTCTGTGAGGAAATCAGACAGGGCAACCAAAAGAGTAAATAACGATAGCGAGAGATCATGTTAAAAATAAATCCCCGATTTTAAAAAACACTCTTTGTCCATCGGGTCATCTTTTTCCCTTGGGAACAAGACGCTACGCTATATTTAGGCGTAATAATTTCAGTAGATAGACAGACAATAAATAGGAAAAAGACTATCATTTGAATGTATTTGTTTTCCTGGACTGAGCACACAGCCTATTGTGCAATCCTAACGCTATTGTCAAGCATGTGTTTTAATCCACCACCACAGCCACGATGACGCGGCATGTGATGTATCCTGGCAACAGTGTCTGAAAGATCACGTTTTAAAAGTCCATTTCCTCATTTTTCTGTTCATAAAATCTCCCTTTTAGATTCGCAGCTGCAGCAATGTGAAGAACAGAAAACTAAGAAATTTGTTTGCAGTTGTGTCCAAAGCTAGCAATATCTCCACGCCCGTACTTTTAAAGCTCAATAATTCATCTGGACAAATATCTGGGTGAAAAATCTGTTTAGAGGAGATCGACACATTAAGTTGGTGTTTGTGTCTGAACAAGAAAATGTGACGTGTTAATTAGTTAGCTTTAGAGATGCTGGATTTGGTTATTTTATCACATTTGTGGTAAACTAATCCAACCAACTGCTGATTCTAGCTCTATGTTTAAGCTAAGACGCATGTATTTAAAATGTCACACGTTTTCTTCATTTTTCATTGAGATAATACATTCAACTGTACACTTGCAAATTCCCTCATTATAGTGCCCAGCTGTTTGTGTACTTGGAATGCAACTGCGGAAGGTTAGTGAATGGATAACGCCATGGCTCAACATGTGTATCCATAATGTGCCCTTGATACACATTCATTTTTGGGAAAGTTACAGTACAAGGAAGTTTATTGTGAGTCATTAGCGTCTCTTCTGTTATCCCAAACAGGTTATCACAGGTTCATATGACCTGCATTAGGTTAAACAATAATGTCTTAATACAGATAGGAGCTTGAAAGCATAGTGGAGGTTTCACATGATCAGTTACTGTTATTGTAAACACTCCCACTTGTCTGGATTTGAGAAGGCTCAAGCATTAATCTCACCTCTAATGCAGCAAAAGCCTTATGTGATAGTTTCTCAAAACCAATGACAATGATACAAAACATAGAATAAGCTGTAGGCACCTTTCTTCGTTCATTACTGTGGCTACACCTTCATAAAGAAAGGGATTTATCTATTGAGGTGACACTAGCTATGGATCAACTGGCTATAAAATGTAAATCGGCTCAGTTTGAAAATCCCTCACTTCTATTAAGTGAGTTGAAGTAGGTCAATGAGCCGGTGTGTCAAATTTCCCAGCCAAGCACTGTGATTAGATCATCGTGCATGGTTTTCCTATTTGTCATTGACATGGTAAAACATTGAAAAAATATTGAAACAATTAGAGGTTTCGCATTTACAAAACTACAAAGTTACAAAGATAGCAGACATGACACCGGAAACTAAAGTGTCCCTTCATGTTTGTCTGTGGGACATGTGATTTCAATCAGTACATTTCTTTAGAACATTTAGTGATCTGAGCACAAATGCAACCAAAACAAATATATATGCTTCACTTAACAGAAGAGTTTGTCAACAAAACCTTATAACCATCTAACTGGCAAATTAAATATATTTGCTTATTATTTGCTTATTATTCCATGCTTGTATTTATAAAACTAAAATCATCAGCCAATAAAATTCATCTTAGGCAGTTCTTCAATCGGTCGAATATAACACACCACCTTCTGTCCACAGATCCTTGACGCTTGCAAAAGGTGCAATAAAGAAGCTGACACCCAATGAAAGCTACATTACCTCAACCATTTTGATATTTTTTAGGATGAACTAAAAATAAAATAATTGAATTGGTTTATGAAATCCCACAGGATTATTTGGATTAAAGAGTTTCAAGCAAGTTTAAAAGTCTTGTACATGTGTTTAAGAAAGAATGCTGTTGTTATTTAAAATCCTATCCTCCCTGCTGCATTGCAGGGATATTCAAACAAATAAAACTGCAATTACAAACACAAGTTTGCAGACAAATAAATGCACTGAAAAGGATCATTTTTAACAGAGAGCCAGATAAACAAACTGTAGCAAGAGGAAGGAGCTTTTTAATTATCAGAGAAAGTAAATGGGAGAACCTACCGGGTCACGCTTCGCCATCGGACTCAGATCAGCAGTGATTGGAGAGTGAGGTGATCCCAGGTGGATGCAGCTTGGTCAAATCCAGACGTCGACTTAGTCAACAAGCAGTGAATAGAGAATTATGGTACCACATTAACACCGCTACTCTCCTTTGTATTTCCTTCTTCCGCCTCCTTTCCACTCGACTGACCTTCATTTAAGCAGGTAGCTCTACCTCCTTTGCATGACGCCTCCCACTTTCTGCAACCATCCTTCTCTCAGACCGTCATTCTTTCCTAGCAGAGCAGGGCGTGACCAGCGCACCAGATTCCCACCTGCCCGACCGGTTTTGTGGGAGTCAGAGAGATTTGGTGGAGCTTGTTTCACAGTGGCGAGCTCCATTATGGCTCAGGTGACACCAGCTGACCCGTACCAAAACGTGTTCTTCCCCACACAGAGAGAACGGGACTGGCTTTCCCATCCAATTTAAACTCCACATTATTTGAGTTTAATGCAGTATTGTGAGTTCCCTGTAGACTTCACAATAAGGTCATTCAATGTATACGGAAATGCTGGAGAAAAGGAAAGAGCTGACATTGAACTCCCCCTTCCCCCCTCCCCCCGAAACATAAATAAATAACACATAAACACAGATACAAGGCATTGAGGTGACCTAGTCGCAATCCACTCAACCACAATGTCCCGGATTTGAACCTGGCGAATGATCTCTGTAGCACATAATTGTTCAATCTATGTTCAATCTCACATTTCCTTTGTCACAGCTCAGACACTTTACGACATTAAAGAAAAATCTCTCTATTTTCACGAATGTCAAGCAGATAGTTTCATACTATTATAATATTAGTGCTGAAATCATAAAACTTTGCAAGATCACATGGTTCAATGTAACTCAACTAGAGGTTGTCATTAGAAACAGTAGCCATGTGCAGCATGTGCACAGATAGACCCCTAGAGGTGCTCAAGCACCTGCCCTTCTGCCCCGGGTGAGAAAAGCGCCCCTTCTGCTGGAGCCCAATTTTCTTTTCATTCATCAATATTTAAGAATACAAATTACTCTCTCTGTCATCAATTCCCCCCAAATGTGTTTTGATATCTGACCGGCATTTATTTGAGTTCTTGTGAGAATTTTGCCCCGCATGCTCCAGGCGCACACAGGCCCTCGCCCCCCTTTCCCTCCCTACCTCCCTCCCTCCCCCATCCTTCTCCTCCTCCTCCTCCTCCTCCTCCTCCTCCTCCTCCTCCTCCTCCGCTGAGTGCTCGTGCAGTGCTGAGCGCCAAACGGCTGCAGCATCAGACAAACAGGTAATGGCGGTGTTCGTGGAATCCTCCGACATGGTTGGTGGTAAATTAACCACATCCTTAGTGCTGCTGAAAACATTACTTGCAACTGGTTCCACGTTTCCTAAAAATAAACAAGCAAAAAATGTCTCAAAGCTTTGTCCAGCTGTACTGACGTTTGTCATGTTTAATGAAGAGAGAGACGGAGAGAGATACAGGCAGGCAGAGAATTTAAACACAGTTTTACTGTTCTACAAATTAGTTCGCTAGTTTTGTTTAATTTAATTCAATTATTGAAATGAAAGGTAGGTCTTAAGTTGAGCTACATCACAATATGTCGTGGTATATTATTAGTGTAATGCTGCTTATACTTTAACTGTAAAAAAGAAAACAGTAAAAAAACAGGCTTTATAGAGATTATATAAGTTACTTTTGATTATTATGTATCATTAATTTATCTCATTTACAAAATTTGCCTCCAAAAGCAGAAAGACGGGGAATATATCCTACTGTGTTTTTTTAATGTTTTTATTTTATCATTAATATTTTTATTTTCCTGAATCATTTTGCTGATGGGTGTCCTTTCGTTTTGCCCCCCAAAATGTGTGCGCAGGTGCCTGGCCGTGTGCATGAACCCACTCATTTATGTGCCAAGTGACTTGTGAAGTCCCCTTCGAGAAAACATCAGATGATCTGTGACATTTGAGTGGCCTCCACAGTTACTCAGTTATTTACTCAGCATTTCTCTGTCCCTCTGAAGGACAGAAACCAAAAGGTGACGCTAGCAAAGAGATTCATGATGTTGCGCGTTTGCCTTTACCAGGAAGTAAAACTCAATGAGTCTCGTGTGAAAAGGAGGTGAGAAACCATAGGGGCATTTTTAGCTGTAATAAATAGATAAGTGCTTTCTCGGAATTTAAAGTTCATATTCATAGAATAGTATTAGAATCCTTTAAAAAAAATGTACAGATGTCAGCATTCAAACAGAAAGAGTTTGCTCTCATGTAATGCAAATAGTAGAGACAAGTGAGATAGTTGATCCAAATCTAAACATCCCTTTAGTTTTAGTGCAACTGGATTAAAAATCCACCATGTACTTGCAGATGTTTTATAGAGCAGCTGTATGTGAACATTTTAGGCCTTGTTTGCCAGATGAAGGTTCTTTTCTTTGACAATGGTCCTTGGATAAATGATTGTGGTGACCAGTGGAATTCCATTTTTGGGTAATATACGAAATGGTCTTACTTATCTATTCGCAATAACCTTTATGTCACTAATTTCCTTTTCAAATTGTTTTATAATGCTCTAATTACACTCAGAATCTTAAACCGATGTACTGGTGTACGATGAAAAAAAAGTTCCATGGTCACGGGGGGTTTGTGAATACCGTAGATAGAGATAAAGAAAATTAAGTATTGGTTTTAAAGCTTTTTATGTTTCTTTTTTGTCAAATATTCATACAAATGTACCACCTGCAAAGCTGCCTAAAGAAGCAAATACAAGTGATCACGTACACAAACACACACACACACACACACTAAACAGAAGCGAATGAAGACAATGTGTGTCTTCTGTACATGTGCCGATTATATGTTTTTCATTTTATGAAACTAAAACGTTTAGAGGCAACAGAAAGCCCCTCTGACCAAACAAACCCAAATGGCTCCAATCATTAAAAGGGAAAGGGGAATCCCTAAACACTTCCCTTTTCTTGTCAGGCCCTGTACAGCCCAACACTGAAAGTCATAAAGGTACAGAGAGTGAGGAAAGGGGAAAAGAAAAAGGCGAAAGGGGAAGGTAAACATCTGGTGTGGGATGAAACTTGCAGCAGTGTCACTGACACACTCACAACAGGAAGTGCATCATGTGAGGGGGCGGGGGGTTGAGCAAGAGCGGAATATATGTTTTGGGAGATCTATTCAAATAATTAGGCAAAAAAACGTCACATTCCTTCCACGGATGAACAGAGAACACATCAGTGAGCTGCTTCCCGACTGAATACATCTTTAACACGTTCACGTTAATGTGAACTGTCATACGGACTCTCTGTGGAGGAAATATGCTTCTATGGACAGAGTTGCTACACGGGCGGTTGGATTAAGGACCTTTTATGGTGACTACTGCATGAATCATGATTGAATGACAATACCTCGCCAGACACCAGACATGGACACGAGCATTAAGACACCGCTTCTTTTCTTCCTGATTGTCTACGTACATTTTGTGTCGGGTAAGTGAAACATATTTTGTATTTCCATTATTTTTACTATGGTTTTCCTTTACTGTTGTGAATTTCACATGCATTTTACATGTTGATGTCATGAGAAAAAAACATGAGTAAAATACAGACATTCTGGGAAATGTATTTTCCTGACCTACGTTTACATTTTGGTCACCATTATGAAGGACACAGGAAATGTAAAATGAAAAATTTCCAAGATTGAATATTTTACTGTCCAGACTCCAACCCGCATAAATATCTCCTCTCTCGACCATCTAATAGACCAGGTTTTTTTATCCAATGAAATGTAAGTCAGTGTGTAATACTCATGATATTTCTTTCATTTACAATGGCAGGATTGGACGTCCCTCGACCTGACAAACTGTACGTGAATATTTGGGATGGGGAGGTAATAGTACATTGGGAACTTCCCGCAGGCGCCCCATCAAACTCCAAGTACAATGTACAAATGGGAAAGTACGTTTAACTTTTATTTCAGTCATAGTGTCAACTTGGTTCACACATTTCCTATTGTTTTGCAATTCAAACGTCAATTCTGTACTTTTTTTCTTATATAGAAACAGCAACAGTTGATGAATCTTTTTATCATAATGAGCTGCTGCCAGTTTGTGACAGGTGTTTTCTGTCTGCAGGTACAGTGGTAAATGGACCGAGGTGACCAGCTGCACCGGGATAAAAAGGACCTACTGTGACCTTAGCGGCCTTCTACATGACTATCGCTCTAAATACAAAGTCAGAGTTCAGCTGGTTGCAGGAAAGGACGAGTCGCCGTGGACACACAATACATTCCTCCCAAATTTAAGTAAGTAATAGTTTGATTGGACCTCAGAGTACCAAGGTTTTCTCTATATGTGTGTTTTCTTACCTCTCTCTTGTTGGTCCTATAGGCAAACTGCAGCCTCCCTCCTTCACCCTGTTGGCAACGTCCAGCACTCTGACGGTGTATGTTCACCGGAAACCCATTCTGAAAGAACTCTTTCCTTTTGGGCTCATCTACACCATATACCTGGAGGAGAGGGGACAACACAAAAAGGTATAATGTATGAAATAATGTAAGGCAGCAGCCACCCTTCCAGCTAATAAAAGCACTCTTAAAACTGTCCCAGGCCATATTGTAAAATGTGTTCTAAATACAACGCATTGGTAATTAGTTTTTTTACTCTTCAGAACACGACAGCGTACCTGACTGATGACACAGGGGAGGATCAGACGACTATGTCTTTCAGTTCTCTCCGCTGGGGACGAGAGTACTGTGTCAGCATCACAGTAGAGGGCATTGGAGCTTCGTCCACTAGTAGTCTGTCCCCTAAACAGTGCCTGCTGCTGCCAGACCAAGGTAAGAATGCAATTTAAAGCCTGTGGGACAGAAATATTTTGTTATAATATGTAACAAGTTTAAATCTACAGTTTTGTTAGATAAAACCTTGCCACTATTAAACTTGTCCCTGTTTTTGTTTGCTACAGAATGGTACATAATTGCTGTGGCATCCATATCTTTTCTGTGTGTGTTGGCCGTCATTGCTATCATGGCAACCGTTGTCCTGTGTTACCTGAGACGTCCAGAGAAAACGCCTGCTTCGTTGGTAAGTACATTCAAAAACAACTTTTACTCCTGACAGTGTAAAAAACAGAAAAGTTGTGTTACCTGCATCACATTTTTTATACCAGCCATGCCAAGATTTAATTCCTAAAGACAATTTTATGAAACAATGAATACCACAAGAACATCCTTCTTCTCTCTTCCCACCCCAGAAATCGACTGTTATTGGCTGGCTTCCCCTCTCTGTTGGCGAAGGGAATATGGAAGTTGTTACAGACAGAGGATGGTTCCTCTCAAGCTTCAAAACAGAATTGAAAGACTGTGTCAGCGATCCAGCGGCGCACGATACTGTGAAAGAGGAAGACGTAGAGGAGGACATGAGGACCAGCATGGACAGTGGCCTCGGCATGGAGCCCAATTCTGCTACAATAAGCGGAAGAAATCCTCCAGTGAGACAAGAGGACAGTGGCTGCGGCAGCTTAGGAGAACAGGAGAGCTCCACCAGCTGTCCGACAGACTACCCTCTGAAGGACCAGAGGACCGATGCGGACGCGGTTAGGAAGAGGGACTACGGTGGGGTGGAGCTGTGCTGCAAGCTGGATTCTTCGTCCGTCCATCTGGATGGATCTCCAAAGGCTGCCGGCAGTGATTACCGCAGCCACGGCCCCTCTGCCGTGCAGATTCACGTCTGTGACGATGAGGAGCTGTTTAAACAGAGGCTCCCTGACGCCGGCTTGGCCCAGGTGGTCACAGGTTACCGGGCCGGGCTTCAGTCCTGTATTTGTTCAGGAGCAGGACAGTGCACTTGGTGCCACAAACTGGGACATCATGAAACCGAACTTATCAAAGGCTACAGGGCCGCGTGCATGGAAAATGGAATACTGAGCGGCAAATGTGACTTTGTGGATCCTTACAGAAGGGGACGTACATTTTCAACTTATCCTAAAAATACACAAATGGACACTGTTGTGGTGGAGGACTTTGAAACAGCTTTTATTCAAATGGGGGAGATTTTCCCTTTGCTTACGGCTCTATCACCACTTCCCCTGGAGGACAAAGGGCCGGATTTCAACATGAACAACCTGCCTCTTTCCCTCTGTGACGTGCAGCTCATGACAGACTGACGTGCTGTGGAATGCAACAACGCTATTTATGAAATTCACTTACTTTTCCTCCCCTGTGCAATCATTCAAATAAACATTTTGATTCATTCAAATGGAAGCATTGGTCAGTATTTTGTCCAAGAGGAATGAGAATTTGAAGTAACAAGAAGAAAACTGTGAGGAGAAACATGCCCATGGCAGTTATAGAAAGGAGGAAGTAAACGAATGTGAGAACGTGCAGCTGCTAACAGCTGTGCGGTCTCACATTGGTTGAGGTCTCTGGAGCTTTTAGGGCTTGAGAACATCAGACCTTATTCACCCATATTAAACTCTGTATATTTACTCAACCACTTAACCACCATATGGCAGAAGTGAAACAGGCGTGGGGAGCGATGCTGAGAAACAGTGCTTGGACATTTTTTGGATTTCCCTGCTCTCACCTACGCTACAATGCAAAGATACTGAAAAGTATTCTTTATTTTTACCCCTATCCAAATATTCGTAAAACGACCTGCCAAAGTGCCATTTAGGGTGTGAAACAGAGGAGAGAACATGGCTTGGCCTTTTTCAATGATGTATGGGATGTTTTTGTCACAGATGTGACGCCACTGACATTCATACAGTGTACCGTGTAGCTTAAGTAGCCTAATACTATTATTTCTTTAGAGATTTCCCTGATAAATTGGTTATTGGGTATTCATTGTGTATGAGTCTGAATGTGACTCGTACATCATAAAAATAAAGTGGAATGTCCTCAGAAAGTCATACGTTCAACAAAGTGAAACTCACTGGGGGGGGTAAACAACTCAGCAGCTGTACTTCTTCTTTTGTGGAATCTCCATATACAAATTCTGTGAACAGGAACGAGAACGGTGGTTTTCAAAGCTTCTATATCAAGAAGACTTCCTCAGTCTCTGACTCAGATCAGAAGTCCTGCTTCACATTGAATAGAGCGAGTATTGTCTGCAGGGCTGAAGTTCACCCAACATGTATCTCAGTAAAATACATCTTCAACAGCGCTGTTGAAATGCTGTTGAAATGCTGCTGAAATGTCACTCTTGATGAAGCTGATCCCTGGCAGTGGTGGGGAAAGTGACATAACCTTTGGCTAAGCCTAAAAGTTGACAAACAAATTCATGTTTAAACTGCAAAGTATTCCATTATGTTTTTTTTAGTGCTGTAGATCACAGTTCATCTTCTATTTCTTACCACTTCAAGCTTGGTTGCTCTTAGGAGGCCTTCAAGAAATACTCTGTTTTAAGTTGCAGAACTACCAGTTCTCCAATGCTAGAATAATTGGATTGTTACTAGTATTGTGTAAATGTTGTAACTTGATTAAAAAATATAGCTCTAATCTAACCTTTAGATTTGTAGGCAGTGACAGGCTGCAACAATGCAATCACAAACTTAACCACTCCTACTTTAGAGGTCCACAAATTCATAATACATTTAGAACAAAGGAATAATAATTATCACCAAAACAGTTCTGCGAGTAGTAATACTACTTAGTGGTATATACACACAAGAGTATTTAAATTTGACTGTCTGGACAAATTCCTCCGTACATGCTATTGTGAGGCCATTACTTCACCACAAAGCACTTTATAAATGTCCAATGATGTGTGACTGCCAGTTGCTCTGAAAGTTCATGCAGTTCATGAATACAGTCACGTGATATTTTTTTTTTTGGGGGGGAGGGGTACTAAACAGTAGAGCTGCAGATAGTTGAACAATGGAAACAGTATCTGGTAATCTATTCGAAATGTGTGACCAAAATGTGAAAAATGTCCCCAATGATAAAGGAAGTTGCTGAAAGTTTTGAGGTGATTCTTAACTGATCAACAGGAAGTGCTTATATTACACACGCATGCTGGTGGGTTTTCTCATCTCCTTTTAACACCTTTTCACGACTAAGTGAGACAGACTCAACTGTGGAATTTGCTTTGGTATGAAACAACCTACCTTTAACGTCCAACATAGTTGCAAAGGAAGAAATGTATGTTTTGCTTTTCAAACAATATATCCCCGGACTCACAGACTCATCTGTCATTTGTGTGTATGTGCAGAGAAGGAAGCCTGAAGTGGTCTGAAATCATTCTAATCATATTCACAAACTACTAACTGAGAGAAGTTGACCTTTCTTAAGGCAGCTTATAAGAAAAACAACAAATTACAGAAAAACCTGTTTTCGTTTAATAGAGGAAAAACTATGAGGCATAATTCCACCATCCAAAGAAAGTATGAAGAAGGCAGCAGATAGAGGGAAGTCACTTGCAGTTTACAAGAAAAACGGCGTGCCTGTTGCTGTGGTTTAGCTAGCTTGCCTTCGCCTCAACAGTTCTTCTCATCTCGAGCAGCAGGCTTTTGTTTCTCTGTCGTGGGTGTGTGTGTGTGTGTGTGTGTGTGTGTGTGTGTGTGTGTGTGTGTGTGTGTGTGTGTGTGTGTGTGTGTGTGTGTGTGTGTGCTTACAACAAGCCACAAAATGTGAGACGCACACAGTTATATATATATTTATTTATGTTCCTTCCACATGATTTGTAATCATTATTTTACACATTAGACAAGAGTACATTGTTGCACACACAGTAGCATGCAATGCTTTCAGTCTCAAAGTGAGCACTTTGTTTTCAGGATGAAGACCAAAACTACAAGTGGGCCACTGACATGTTGGATAACAGACTTTTAAAAAGAAGCCATGCGTAGGTATGTGACAGACGAGGGGTTCCGTCGCGGTTTCCACCATCAACTGCCACCAAGTCAGCCGTCACTTTGTGACGCTGCTGATGGAGAAGGGGGGAGGAGACTTCTTTAAGCCAACTTTGCTGTAGACAGAGAGATCAACTATGAAACATATATATATATATATATATATATATACGCAAGTAAATGCAGCTTGAATTTAAATGATCCGTGAGAAAAAATCCACTTACTTGAGCACTTTGTTTTTCAGCGATGGCTCTGTAGAGAAAGAGAAGATGGAGTAGATGTGCATTTTAGTGTGAAAATATGAGAGATTCATCATGTTCTACATTGTGGCTGATGTTGTTCAGCAACCAATCAACCGTAGTTTTACAAAGTGAATGTATTTTAGAGGGTAATAACATAACTATCCAGATCATTTTGGGTTTTGTCAAATGTATCAAGTGCTCATAGTGTAGAAAGATATGAACCACACGTGTATTTACAGTCCTCACATTCTGCCAACTATCTAATAGAAAGTAGTTGCTACTGTATGAAAAATGGTCACAAAGTCTATTGTGGACTAGATTATTCAGTTTAACAATGCGTATCGGAAACCTGGGTTCGTAAAACCATACACATCCCTGTGGCTCAATAACTCTGGAGGAAAAAACTGAATCACTGAAATTCTTCTCACCCTTTTTCTTGCAGCATTTTTTGCATTCATACTTTCCCCAGTATTGAAAAACACCAATGGAGAAGAGAATAGCCAAAACCCCAAAGCCAACAACAACACCGACTGCCGTCGAGTTCACGCCGCTCCCTTCAAATACAAAGAGGTAATTAGATTAGAATCATAGATTTAACACAGAGAGAACAATGTAGAGACCAACCGAGGGGCAAAAATGATTTTTGAGGTGTTATAAGGTTATATTCCTTAATTGGATCAATAAATGTTCGTTGTGAGTGAATATTCAATCTGATGAAATTAGATTTGGAAATCGTTCTCTTGCATCTGCCTTCATTCGCCTCTCAAAGTATGAGAGGAATAAGGAGTTCTGAAGGACTTTAAGGGACACAAAAAAACAGCTGGTACTTGATGTAAACAACGAAGACTTCTGGTCCATTATTCAGCAGTATCGGATAGAGAACTCTTCACTAGCAACATTCAAGCAAGATTATATATACATGCAGTGTATAGTATACAATAATATATATGTAAATCATGTGCGTGTTTAAAAGACACTTTCAACATAAGTTACAGCTTACACATTAAAAAGGAAACATGTGATGTGTGAACCAAACCTTAAAAGACAATGACTCCAAAGCAGCCCCGTATATTTAGCTCTATTTAAAGGGCCGCAGTGTTGTAAAAGTAAAAATGGAAAAGTCCAGCTGGATCACTACGTAAAGAAGTCTTTTGTTGCTTCACAGTTACTGTCAACATGAGTGAGACTCTTACCAGCGTTCCCCATAGTCAAGCAGCTGGGATGACCAAAGTTATTTCTTGTACGTCTTCTCCTCCTTTCTCTGTCCGTTACGTGTTCAACTCAATTAATTTACATGCGCCTTGTTAAATCACTAGTCAGGACTGAAGATCAGAGACAGAGTATTCTCTCGTGCCTGGTCTTTAGCTTACGTCTGCTTGTCCATGTCCCCATACCAGTCATTCTTACAAACCGGTCCATCTTCTTTCTTTATCCTGCCTCTCTTCCACCCTGCTTCTTTGGCATGTGTTGAAAAGGGTTCTATCTGCCGGGCTGCTGCTCTGCCATCGACATTTATGCTTAGAATCCCATGCTTGAAATTTGGGATTATTTGATGATGTGTGAATGTGAGTGTGAATGGTTGTACGTCTCTGTGTAGCCCTGCGATTGGCTGTCGACCAATCCAGGGTGTACCCTGTCTATCGCCCGAAGTTGGCTGGGATGGACTCCAGCCCCCCCCCCGCGACCCTGTGTGCAGGATAAGCGGTTTGACGATGGATGGATGGATTATTTGATACTGTGCGAACAACTTTTTACAAGCTTGACTGAGATCCAGCTTGAGACTTAAACTTGAGATATCTATTTTGCAACCAAATCAACAACACAAAAGGCTTTTTCTTGGTCTCTCAGGTTCTCACACCTCTGCCACTCGCCTCTCATTTTTCCCTCCTTAACAAATCAGTAACAGATCGCCATGGATGGCACCTGGATTAGACGGTGCTTGAGGACCCCTGCTGGATAACTGAGTTACTACACCTCTTTGTAATTGTTGAAAATCTATAGTTTAAGAATTGTTTTGATTATGACAAAATATCTTTTCATTAAGCACATTTACATGTTAGAATTACGATATGGAGGACTTTCCTATCTTCATTCAAGAATATGTTCTTTTCATTTTAATTTGGAAGAAAAGGATTATAGATTTCAAATTCAGACTTTATAATTCTGTCCCTCGCGGCCCTTGCTAAGCACATTTACGAGACACCGTCGTGCTTGTTTTGATTTATTAGTGTACAGTATACAAGCTTCTGCGGGCCGTAACCGTAACTCCCAAACAACAGTCATTACCGCTAAACATTAACTTAACCGGTTAGACAATCCGTTCCAAGTCGTCTATTAACTTCCAACGGGCCTGCGGGGCGATGACAAAGCCAGCAAAACTCTCTCTGAGAATACCAGGCATAACCCTGTAGACATACCCTGACCCTATAGACATACCCTGACCCTGTAGGCATACCCTGACCCTATAGACATACCTTGACCCTGTAGGCATACCCTGACCCTATAGGTATACCCTGACCCTGTAGGCATACCCTGACCCTATAGACATACCCTGACCCTGTAGGCATACCCTGACCCTATAGACATACCTTGACCCTGTAGGCATACCCTGACCCTATAGGTATACCCTGACCCTGTAGGCATACCCTGACCCTGTAGGCATACCCTGACTCAATAGGCATACCCTGACCCTATAGACATACCCTGACCCTGTAGGCATACCCTGAGCCTATAGGCATACCCTGACTCAATAGACATACAATGACCCTGTAGGCATACCCTGACACAATAGACATACCCTTACCCCTAAAGACATACCCTAACTCTACCCTGACGAGGGATTGACACGTGTTTTTTCCGGGTTTACAGCTCATAAAACAGTTCACTGACGTCCTGAACCCAGTAAATGCAATATAGCCATCACTCGTTTGTTACTATTGTTACTACTTGTTTTAAACTAATTCCTTCTTTAAACACAATAACACAAATAACAGGTTAACATCACATCTCATTAAGTCTGATGAACAAAACTATGAAGATCTTATGGTTTAAAAGTATCACAAGCAGCTCGGTTTGTTTTTTAACGACAAGCAAAACTTCAGTTAGCGAGTTGTGATCTGCTTAATCTGCTATTCAAGCGCGTTTCATTTTTTGTAAAAGCCGATAAAGCCGATCCCCTCGGGCCTCCCTCTAAAGCTACTCCTACAGATCAACGGTTCTGAACACAAACATGTGACGATGAAGCTGAGCAGCATACAAGGCTGTTGTTGGTACTCACAAATTGTCAAATTAGCAGCATGTAGACGACTCCGTCGACCCACTGGCAGGGGGGAGCACAGTTTCAGAAGGATTCTGTGCTGTCTTTGCGTGTGCCTGCTGCACTGGGCGAGGGGGTAAGTCACAGTGGAGTGGGTTGCACCTTGCAAGGTCAGGCGAGAGAAAATATTTACCAAGAATGGCAGACTGACTGAGTGGCAGAGCTGAGTCTGTTGCAAAAAGGTTTTCGACACAATGCCCGAGGCCATAAACCCTGAAATGGTGTGAATATGAATGGTACACCACTTTGCTGTCATACGTCGCGCCACCAGGACAACATCATAAAATATGATCTTCAATTGTGTGTATTTATTTTATACTAAAAATAAATATTTGATGAATAAGTGAGTAAATATCCTCTGATATCCTGATGTTTCTTGTTTTTAATCCTTCATGTTTCTGTGTAGATGTAAGATTTCAGGCTGAACACACATTGGCCAATCCACTTTTTAAAAAAATGTTCATGTCTCTAGGCTTTTACCGGTTATCCTTTGTTTGAACTGCAATGCCTTGTGGGATATTCAGCTGTGGTCTACTTTAGTTGCATGAGTAATTTGATATTTCCCAGCAAACAACAAAAATACTTCCTCATAATTTTCCTGATGGGAAATTGACACAATGACACTATTGAAAAAAAGTCATTTGTCTAAGGGCAGTGACACCAGACTTTGATCACAGCATTTGTGTTGATTTTGACAGGACTTTACAACAATTTTTTTTATAATATTTAGAGAATGTACAGTTTGGGGCAGGCATTTTGTATTATCACATATATCCTTGCTGGAGCTTTCATGTCTTTCTTTAGACACTCAATTCACCCATTTTCTTTCTTCTCACTTATTTTCGCCCTATTTTCCATTTTCCATTGCTCTAATTACTCTAAAAACACATACAGTTTTGAAACAAGATCCCTTCTCACAGACCTGAAAGCCACAAAAATACTTGGTTCAGAGTCCAGGGAAGTGGGAAAGTTCAATTATTAACCAAGTCTATTTTTTCAAGTTTTCCTTCCGCTAACATTTCCTAATCTTAATATCATGTTACACAAAATGCACACCTGTGTGTACAAAGGAGGTTTTGGGTACCTTGTCTGACAAGGAGATATAATGGCTTTGATGGTAAATTGAGGTTGTGTGTGTGTGTGTGTGTGTGTGTGTGGACGGAGGGAGTGAGGAGGTATTCGTCTGTGTGAGAGGGGGAGCAAGAGAGAGAGAGAACTGTTTGCTTTAAAAGTGGAGGACAGAGAGATCAGATGCAGGAACTCAGAAGGAATTCTCTCTACAAGCAATAAAGGTCGGTCGAGAAAATCCTCTGAGTAAAATGCAAAATCTTTAGACATCCAGAGTTCTTCAGTGTCGGTGTCTTCAGATCCTTTTCTGACAGGGATTGACAGAGTGACAGCTGCTTCACAGGTGAGCAAGAGCCCAGTGGGGGACGACGTCTCGGTGTGTAGTCACGGGGGGTTTTCTTAAACCTTAACTGTATCACTAAAAGGATGACGATGCATTTCGACAGAAACAAAATCATTCTGCAGGAGGATTGAATAAATGAACTGCATCATGTTTGAGTAGGAGCTGTTTGTTTAAATGTTGGTGTAATGCTTTCAAGGAAACTAGATCCTGATTTAAACTGATTTTCTTTAGCAGTACGACTTATGTTTTGCTCAAAAAAAGATTTATTTTGTATTTGAATTGGACTGCAGTGTTTTCCTGTGTTTAGGATGTTTTTGCTTTCTTCAAAGTTGGCCTTGAAATTGAATTAAATGCTTTAAATTAATGTTTCCAAAGCTCGCTGCTTAACGTTTCTGAGAAGATTGCACAGAATTTACATCTGCTGGCAAACTTCAAGTCAATGAGAATTTAAATCAAACATTTTCCGTAGAGAATAAGTGATACAATAGAATGATTTTTAACTTATTCATTTTAGTTAGCGCATCAAAATGATAGTGTGAGAAGAACAATCCCAGAGCTCGATCTGTTAATAAGTTATCTATCCGGCCTATAAACTCTTCAGCAGTTTATTGCCATGGAGCCCTCAGTTTGAAAAAGAACGATAACTCAGCTCCCACCGTAATGGAGAAATAATATACTTCATGAGGCTGATATGGATTGTGTGTTTGGCTGTTGCTCTGTGAGAGCTGATGTGATCACGGACTAAATGAAGGAGCTTTTCTCAGATGCACAAAACAAGCCTAAAGTTGAACAAGGGTGCACGATTGATTTATTAGATCCATGAACTGCTCCCATGTTCTTCTTTAAAACAATGAGTAATGATCTTGTCGGCCATTGTCTAATCATGTCGGAACATTTTTACTGGGTAATACTAATTTGATTTGCGATGTAAACTCTGTGGGAAATGTGCCATGTTAGAGGGAATGGAAAAGGGGAAATGTACCGTACATACGGGTGATTCTATTGGGGCCCATCATTTTACTGGTATCACACTTCATTGACCTTAACTCGTTGCAGACAGACAGACACACAAAAGGAGGTTAATGGTCCAGATTCAATAGCAGGTCGGAGTCCCTAAACGTCTTGGCAAGTAGAACATCAACAAGGATTAACCAAGGTTATTGACTGAAAGAGGAATTGTATTGTCTGTATTTACCTACAACCACGGATACATCCACCCCTCTAGCTGTTTCTGCATGCTTATATTCTGAGTCTGAGTTTTATGAGTGAGGACAGGTCGGAGGTCAGCTCTAATGTTCATGGCATTAATACTTCCGCAGGTACACAGTCAGCTTCTGTTTCTCATAGTGGCCCCTTTCTGCTGAGTCAGCCTCATTTCTTTCTCACACTCCCAATCGTCGCTCCAGTCGCATACAGTACAGAAAAGAGTGACTTTTACATTGTGGACAGACGTTCATGTTCTCCTGCTGATGACCTGCAGCAACACTTTTGAGACCTAGTCCTTCCTGCTAGCCTTGCATGCGGCCAGCGTGGCTCGTGCGGGTTAGGGGTTGTCATATCAGCGATCTGTTCACACTGTGAGACGTGGCAACGGCATGAGTCACGCTGTGATGTCAGGAACTCCTGACTGATACCAACAGACTTGTTTAGACCGTCAAAACAACACAGACAAGAGAACCACGCCTCGGCCTAAAGGCACGTTACCGGACAACAGCAAAGCGAGCGTTGACTGCGTGTTGTGTCTGAGTTTTCAAGGTGGAACACTGTGCTACGTCTTTGTTTTTTCCAAGTGTGGAACACTGTGATACGTCTTTGTTTTTCCATACGTTTGTATTTGCAGCAGGCTGTGTGTTTGGGTAACAATTTGAGAGGCAAATGACACTGGAAGAGACCCAGGGAGTGAACGAACACAAAAGCGAAACAAAAAACAAGGGACATGGTGTGCTTTATATCCAGAGGGCTTAAAGGTTTGCAGTGGGAGGAGAGATAGTGACAGAGACAGAGAGGAGGTTTCAGGTTACCTGAAATACTTCTGTTTTGTCAGCCAGGCTCGGGGATTCTAAAAGTCTCTTTGCCTACGCAAAGCACCGAGACACGAACCAGCACTCTTTAACGCAGAGGGACAGGTTGGATTTAGCTGCTCTGCTGTAGAAAGAACACGGTAAGGACAGCAAGGGAGCGACAAAGAGACGTCATAAACACAGTTTTTGCAGTCAGAGCCAGGGGGACGACAGTGTGACACAAAGGTGAGAGGAAGAGGACGAAGGACATCCGGGAGCTTGTGGGTTACAGGGAGGAGAGAGACCCCTCCTCTGTCCAGGGAGGGAGGGCAGTGTTGACTCTGTGCTCCGTGTCAGCCATAAGAAGGACTCCCACCATCATGCGGGTGAGTGCAATTAGAGTCAACACATGTAAAGATGGCACCTCGGCCCCCTGCTTTGCATCGCAGGCGGCATGACGCCGTGTGCAGAACCAGTTCCTCTCGTGGAGCCGGCACGCGACGTTTGCATGTTGGGAGATACTACCTGCAGCCATACGGGAGCGTTTTGCACGTTTGTGCCTTTTGTTCACGTAGAATTATGGCGCCGTAATGACATGGGATCGCGGCACAGGTGCATGTTTGGCTCTCGTATCTACACTAAGTGCGATATTGGCTTCACTGCCCTGCAGTGACGTCATCGAGTTCATCTAAACGCACCTGTCTCTCACTGCCCTGTGATTTTTAAAAACGCGCCGGACCGCGCGCGCGTAGTTTGTCAAAGTGAACGTTTCGGTTTTGGGACGAATAACCGAACAAAGCCGAGATAAACAGCGAGCGGGAACAACGTCGTTCGAACAAAAGGTCGAATCTGACTCGGTTCCGCTTCTCGGCAGGTGGGTGGTCGCGGTTCCGATTAACACGAGGTCACCGGCTCGAGTCCGCTTTATGACGTGGGGCCCATCAATGCGTGACGTGTAGAATCCCGCTATGGATCGTGTTGAGTCATTGAGTACCGATGAAGACGTTTCCCAGAAGCCACTTGTGTGTCCCGGTGGGACAATAGAGAACTTGTATTTGCAGGTGTGTTTGTCCACTCTTTGCTTCTGGACTTTCTGGTTTTAATAGGCAGGCCTTCCACTCTTTAAAAAGCGTCACTTATCTCCTACTTTTTCTTTATTGGGGTTTCTGGTATCAGCGAGGTCAGTGTATTTTTTTTTTCTCTCAAAAATCTGCACTTGACTTGAAATAAACTTCCAAGTTCTGAGCTCTGGGTGAGTCTTTTTAAGGAAAATATTCGGCGGCCTCCAAGGACAACATTACATCCTGTTACGTAAAGAGAGCTAGATACAAAAAGCCAAAAGGCCTTTTTACTACAATTGAGCTAAACTCTTCTTCTGCCAAAGGGTTAATGCACACGAGCGAAAAACATTCCTTGTTTCAAAGGTAAAGCCAGATTGGATGGATTGGATGTCACAACACGTACCGGTAGGAACAAACTGTCTCTGACGCATGCAGCTTTTAAGCTTCCAGTTAGACGTGACTAGTTGAAATGACTTGCATAGTCTAGCAAAACCGTCTCCGCCAGCACAGCTGATTCATAGCTTTCAAAATGATGAAAACGATTCAAAATGAGCTCCCCACCTGAGGGGAAAAGAAACCTCACCTATAGAGAGTCTACATACTTTGCTCGTCCTTACGTTTAAGTGACGAGAAGACGAGACACAGGGAGGACATTTTAAAACCTCTCAAAGTTGATTACTAAGCGCTTCCTTTTACGTAAACTACAGTTCGATGATCTCGTTGGTAAAGAAATCAGCTAATGGGGGAATAAAAAGAGGAACGTTTAACGGTAGTTCTAGCAATTCTTCATTTAGTCATAACCGATTGTTCTCTAAATGTTCAACAAAGTATCGGCTAACATATGCTCGCCACACTGAGTGTGTAGTTCAGGCCGTAAACAAAAAGCTGTTCAGAAGAGATGAAGAAAACGCGGCAGGTAGATGACAAGAGCTCCCTGGATTTTTCCTACACGCATCCAATGCACTGTGCAATAATGCAGCGGTGATTCAGCTGACATCGTCCTGGAGGATACTTGAGTATCATGGAGCTTAAACCCGGATCCTGTGGTTGAAGGGCGGCCACCCTCTTGCAACATTACAATGAGTTCCGCTACACACACACACACACACACACACACACACACACACACACACACACACACACGGTCCCAGCAGGGCCCGCCACAATACACTATTCTTTTCCTGGCGGGGTCGAGGAGTCTGTACGATAGATGATCATGGGAACTGCCTGTAGCATGAGGAGAGACGAATCGTGGCACGCTGTGTTCCGCTAATCCTTTTTGTGGCTCCTCCCCTAGAGCTGCATTGTATCATTAGTTTTTGTGTTTTGTGTGAGATGGAGGCAACCTATTGTCACTTGTGTGTATACCACTTGGAATGGAAGACCTGTGCAAACGTACCAGGAGAGCTAATGGATCGCTTCGTAGAAACTGGCACGCAAAACCTTCACAATCGCCACCACACAGAAATGAAACACACTGTATATTTTCTCTCAAGCAATGCGCGTTGTTGTTTCAACACTTCATCTATCCTTGATATTTCTCCCACAGACGGTCGTCCAGGTGCGTGAGGAAAGCGCAGCGCCATTGAATCCCGGGCAGCCAGGTAAGCTGTCCTTTGGAGTTGGTTTGATTTAAATACATGTATGCTGCTTTATGAATACCCTGTAAAATACATGGAGGCTGTTTCATTATACTTGGCAAAAAATATATACATATTCTCATTTCCTCCTTTCTTCTTGTCAGTGGTTTTACGGCCAGGGCGGCACAGAAGGCCCATGACTGCCCCGGAGACCGATAAAGAGAAGGCGTCCAAGAGGAAGAAAGTGCTGCTGACGGTCCTGTCAGTTGTCATCGTACTGGGAATACTGGTCACCGCTGCATATTTCAGTGAGTGCCAATTAATCAAAGTAGTTCATTACTCAAAGGACAATCGCAAACACCACAGGGTGTCACCCCAAAACTGGCCCTTCCTTTTTATTTTTCCATCTGCCGCCACTGCTTCGACACTAGACAAACTTGTTTGTCAAAGCCTTAAAATTCCCCACAGAATTCAGTGTCATTTACTGTATGTCAAATCATCCAAGCAAAATGCCTAACCTTTTTTTTCTTCTTTTTTCTTTCCGCCTTTCCCTTCCGATGTACTTTACAGTTAAGGTGCTGATTGACAGTAAATATTTCTTCTGCAAGAGTTCAGTGAAGTTCATCCCGATAGACGAGGCCTGCGACGGGAAAAACGACTGTTCCGGGGGAGAGGATGAAATTACGTGCTTGTCGAGATTTACGGTCAATACTACGTTTCCAGGTAAAACAAAACGCGCGGCTCTAAAGCTTTTGTCTCCACGCGCACAAACTCCTATTCTCTTCCTCTTTTTTTTTTTGTGCCACTTCTCCCTGCAGTGCGTCTCATCACGGGGCAGCAGGTGCTGCAGGTGTACAGTGCAGCCCAAGGCTGGCAGACTGTGTGTAGCGACGTATGGGCCGAGCAGTACACGGAGACGGCCTGCAGACAACTGGGCTACACATCGTGAGTCCACCCGCGAACACGAGGCGGCTTCCGTGTCATAGTTCTCTGTTGGCAAGTCTCACTTTGCCCCCCTCGCCCTTCTGTCTCAACAGTAAACCCAGTAGCACCAGTGTGCCGGTGGACACCTTGTCATCCCTGAAAGATGGACCATTTACAGCTATCCGGCTTGGTTCTACGAACACGCCCATACATCTGGCTACCGCAAACCGGTGAGCAAGGCATCTGTCATGAAATGGGGAAAATCATTGTTGTTGAAGTTCTTTAACTAAACAGTGCTGAAAACTGTGTGCGGTTAACCGTACGCGTATATATCAGGAGAGGAAAAGACACCGCCGCTGACAGAGTTGATTTCCAATTGAACAAATCTGTGATACAGGAAAATTGTTGAATGCATTTTGTCTCCCAACAGCACTGTCTGCAATTCCGGATCTGTCATATCCTTGTCATGTTCAGGTGAGTTTTATTTTTGAAGAAGGAAAAAAAACAACCCATTCCTAACACAGTTTACAGGTTTTTAACAGGGCGGAGAAGGACTCATGGGTGGAAAATGTTTCACACTAACAAGCCCATACATGTCGAAACAAACGTTTCTTTCATTCGTAACCAAAAAACATGTTTTTTTTACTGCTGTTATAATAAAAGGATCTGGACAAAAAGTTGGATTTAAATGGACAACCGTTCTGATCTTGACAAGATGCTCTTCTTTATCAGACTGTGGCTCGGTGGTCTCAGAGGGACGTATTGTCGGGGGTACAGATGCTTCTATCGAGCACTGGCCCTGGCAGGTCAGCCTGCAGCAGGGGGGCCAGCACACATGTGGAGGCACACTGGTGTCCCCGCGTTGGGTCGTCACCGCCGCCCACTGTTTTTCGGGGTCAGTCTGGTTTCCGTGAAAACCATTTCCAGTAAATATCCTTTCGTGGTGTAAATCACAAAGTCACGCTTGCACCTCTTCCTTCAATCTCTCCTTTTGGCCGTTGCAGGAGTAAAAAGGAGCTGAGTCGCTGGAGAGTGATGTCAGGCCAGACGTTCATGAGCGCACTCGGAGGTTCCTATGTGGACAGGATCATCATGAATGGAGACTACAACTCTGTGCGAAGCGACTACGACATTGCGCTGATGAGACTCAGCAGCCCCATCGGAGTGGGAGGTTAGAGTCTCCTTCATTATTTAAACGTGAACGGGTGACATTAGGGCTATTGAGCAGGGCGAGGGCTTTGCTCTCATTGCCCTCTCGTAGTGCGTACCTCAAACAACGTGCTCTTCACTGGCTCAAATTCAACCTGTGGGATCGACGGTCTTAACTATACCGTCAATGACAACTAGGCAAAATGTTCACAATGAATGCTCTGTCTCTGTCTCTTCAGCCAGCCAAAAGCCGGTTTGTCTACCTCCTAAAGCCTTCGGCCTTCTCCCCGATTCCGCCGTGAGTGTGACTGGCTGGGGATACCGAGAGGAGAACGGTGAGAAACCTACACGCTACCGGTTGTTACCAATAGTTACCCCGAATATCTGAGCATCGCCTCCTTGTCCCTTCAGGGAAGGTCTCTTCGTCACTCCAGGAGGCCACTGTACGTCTGATCGACTGGGCCAAGTGCTCCAACCCCTCAGTGTATGGTAGTGCCGTGACCCCAAGGATGCTCTGTGCCGGTTTACTTCAGGGCGGAGTGGACGCCTGCCAGGTAACAGTCCATTGATGCAAGGGACAAACATAGTTGATTTAAAACTGCAAATGAAAAAGTTAGTTATTGTTCATTTCTGGCAAATGCGTTCCGATGTTAAACGAATGTTGTTGTGACTCCCAGGGGGACAGTGGGGGTCCTTTGGTGCACTTGACCTCCTCTCATTGGCACCTGGTTGGAGTGGTGAGCTGGGGCGTCGGCTGCGCTCGGAAGGACAAGCCAGGCGTTTACACTAACGTTGAAGAGATGTTAAACTGGATTCATACCGTCGTCGAGGTACAGAACACAATGTAATGCAGACAAAAATGTAAATCAAATACATTCAAAACCTGTGCTCATCGTTTTAACATCATGCCTCCAGAACAACCCGTGAGGTCCTCCCTTTGGTAGAGCAGCCACCTCCAAGACTCCAGCCTTCTCTCTGGAAGACAAAAGAAAGCCGCAGTGAGAGTAAATCTGAAGCTGGAGCGAAGGGCGTTAAGATCAATCTCAGCAGCAACACGGAATAACTAACACAGCCATATTACACAAACACACACACGCTTTTAATTTTCAAAACGTATTGCTGTTTGTGCCATTTCAGGTTATTTTCTCAGGGGATGTGTGTATATTTTTGTTTTGTGTCTCTAGCTGGTCTGGGATGGTTTAAGTGTTGACAATGTTGTAATTTGACGGACCCAAATGAATGATTAATGCAATATTTGATAAAGGTTTTGGGTATTGATGTGATGACTTGGCAATAAGTATACTACCTGTTTAGACTGGTGAGATTTTGACCGTACCGGACTGGCAGAGCCCAACCATAATGTAATTTATTACTTTGTGCTGTGATTTTAGGTTTGCAATGTGCAAACTTCTTTTATCAAAGGCAACACACTGTGTACTGTGAGGGTGAAGACCGCTCAAAATCCCCAATATAAGTAATTTCAAGTCCCGAGCTTTAAGGCATTGATGGTGCTGACTCAGTTGATCCGAGTGTCCCGGGAACAGGGAACACGCCCCATTTCTACCACACAATTGTTGCGCTCACTTCCTACAACTGATGCACTTTAAGTGGAGTAACTTCTCTCCTCGCTGTACGTCTGGGATGCACTTTGCTAATCTAATTATGCACTGAGGACTAAAACTCAAACACACTTATGTGGAGTGCCTCCACAATGCGTACAAGTGCCTTCATAAGACACCACCCCCCCCCAAAGCCAGAATTTTCAGCGGCGGTCACTGAGGGTTTCCCTTCACAGCTAAACGGAATTCAGATTTTGTTTAAGTTTAGAAGTGCTAATGGTATGTTAATTTTAAAATAGGGGAACTTGGGCCTATATTATTTATTTCAATTACTCAATTTGTAGCAAGCAATTAATTTAGCTATTTTAGGTTCATGGTTATTTTTGTAATTTCCTTTTAAAACATTTTATTTATAGATAGAATTTCTTTCAGGATGTTGTGTGTGTGCCTTGGTGACTAATAGCCTATATATGATTTTATATACTTGTAAATACAATAAACATTCTTATGCAACTTTTTTGTCTATTACTGAGAACTGATCATCTTCCGGCCAAAAGTTAGCAAAGGTGACAACAGGGTCCGCGTTGTATGTAAATAGTTTTGTGAATTGTGCACACACAAGGAAATGTTACACCCCACTTGAAACAAGAAGGTATTGCATAAGAGTTTCATTCCTCAACTGCTTTGCGCATAGACCTGTTGTGGATTTCTGTCTGGGAACAGTAATCCAACTTTAACCACCAAACTTCTATCTTCAACTGCTGCAAAACTTTTAGAGGCGAGACCGTGGTAAGAAAATGAAATATGGGGCCGCAGCTCTCTGGAGGGTCCATGAAAGGAGTCACGTGTCAAATGACCTTGTGGTCACGATCCGCACACCATAGTTAAAAAAAACAAGGAGACTGGTGATTATGTATGAAAAAACATTTATAATTTCCTGAACATCCGATAGCAACGCAATCACCAAAATGCATTAATTGGACAGTTTTTACCACAAGCTGTAACTAATTAACTGATCTATTCTCAACAATAGGATGAGTGCTGGAAAAATTGAAAATGCACCTGAAAGTCCTCCAGAACACACTGCAAGCTCACATATGAATTAGCATTCACAGATTTGGGGGGAAAATAAACATTAATATAATCGGTGCACTCGTTATCTTCGTGCACGGCTGGGGCCTTTGAATGGGTCCTGGTCAAAAAGAAAAGGAGAGAAAATTGCATTTATCAAGTGATAATCAAGTATAGTTGAATTGACTGCACTTTGGATATAATCCTGAGAAAATGATGTGTTTACATTATAATCACACTTTACAGGTAAAGCCACTTTTCATTGGAAGACTCCCCCCTCAACACCCTCGATACATGATACATCTTTTACCTCGTCTTCATCATCACTGTCATCAAATGCGACCCCTTTAGATGACTGGCTCTGAGAGCTGTACTTGGTGAAGGAGGAGGACGAGGAGGACGAAGCTGCAGCTGGCCTGTAGTAAGCAAAGGTAAAACCAAATGGACAAAAGAAGCATGACACATTTAGGATGAAAGCAAGGGACGGATGGGATGAAGCCAGTAGGGACAGCAGTGTGCGTCTGCAGGCTTTTATTTTTCATAATATGCAGGACTACCAGAACGCAGACCAAACACAGACATACCTTGGAGGGGGTCGTGTAGTTTTCATCAAAGGCATTTCTTCATCCGAGTCATCAATGATCACCTGGAGATGGACAGAGAGAAGTTCAGAAGAAGCTGCAGCTAACATGCTGTATATCTGGGCGTCGTCATCAGACTTGCCTCATCCGAAGTCCGAGATGATCTCTGGGAGGAAGCTTGAAATGCTGAGGAAAGAGGCACAAAGTGGGAAGAGACTGAAATGCACAGAAGGTTCACTTTGTGTCCACAGATCATCACCCTCACACAAACAAACACACAGGTAATACTTTCCTACCTTGCATGATGCTCCTGTTTTGGGTTGCTGCTGAGGATTTCTGGGAACGGCCCCGACTGGCTGGCTTTGGTTCGGAGGCAGCTGCCCCTGTGTCGACATTTGAACAACTCAGAACACGGATTTATGTTGAAGGAAACCAGATCTTTGCACATGTATATACACACACTCTGACAGGAACATGTTTTTAAACATAACAAGAATGTATCCCTATTATGTGGAATTTAACACAGATTGTGTTTTACTTTCAATTGTGTTTAGATTAATAAAAGAAATATATTTTGTTAAATAAAAAGAAGATCGTGTCATTTGCCTCTTATTTCCTTTCTATACAGCAAGTGCATACACATAGCAGTAACATTAGTAATGGCGCATACTTCGCCATCAGCCATTGTCAATATTCTGGGAGGCTGCGTGTGTGTGTGTGTGTGTGTGTGTGACCGTTTGAACAACTGTTTAACCCGGTCTTATCCGCGCTGCACCTCTTCTTCATTACAGATAACATGATAACTCACCTCTCCCCCTTCCGCGGCTCCCCCGCCCCCTGCCTCCTCGTCCTCTGCCTCGTGTGGGGGCAGCAGATGGGCCTGAGCCTCCGTCAGAGTCCAGATCAAGCTCATTGGATATATCGGCGTCTACCGGCTCGTTGCCCTGCTCCACACGGTGAGCTTTGGCTCTGCTGATCGCCTTGGAAGTAGAGTGCGCACACAGTGTCACACATAAGACCAGACAAAGGTTCAGGCTCGTGGGCATCATTACTTACTTCTTTGATTTCATTATCTTCCTCGGTCGTGTTCTTTTTGGAGTCTCTGAATCGCTGGATCTGAAAGTGTAAAAACACACGTTCTTTAAGTAAAGTGCCCAATAAACCCCCCGTGGCCTGCTTCCCGGGCAAGGCCCAGCCCTCACCTCAGTGTCTATATCCTGCTCCGTGGTTACTGCTCTGGCCTGCAGGTGGCACTGTGTCTTCTCTAACTGGTAAGTGATCAGCTCCTCAATTGCGTCTTTCTCATCTTTGTCCACAAACTCCTGGAGGGCCTTCCCCATGCCGTGCTCCGTCAGGAGAGACAGCTGCACCGTCTGAGGAGACAAAAGAACACTATGAAACTCTGTAAGTATGTGCATATAAACCTGTGTGTGTGTGTGTGCGCGGTACCTGTTCGGTTGCAGCAAAGTACTGTTTGACCAGGTCCTCCACTCTCAGCCCCTCAGCCGCTGTGGTTTTTAACAGGCTGCCGTAGTCCACGTTGACCTCGTCTAAAAAGCACAGAGATTGGAACGCGTGAAATGGAGAATGCTGTGGATCGGTTACTGCGGTAACCTGCAGATCCATAGCTGTGCAGTTAGCCAGAGTCAGACCTTTGTTGTCCTCTTTCTGCTCGCGGCGTCGCAGAAAGTGAATGATGTCTTTGGGGTTGGCTACGCGCTCCACAAACTTCTGACTGAAGCGAGAGGTGTGGAAGGTGTCAAAGCCCCCGCTGTAGTCAACCTAGGGAGGCAAGGACATTGTTAGATTGGACTGCAGAGCCGATAGAAGGTGTCTGCATGCGCCGCGAGTGGGACCACCTCACCCTCAGGCGAATAAGAGGTTTCTCTGGGGTGAGCGGACATCCAAGTCTTTCTCTCTCCGCTTCCTCCAGCATCTCTGTGACCTGCAGAGTGACAGACAGGCCGAGGGTGTGAGGGCGCAGAGGAGGACATGGAGGATAAGATGACCAATGGATGTTTAATCGGCGTTACCTTTGCATAGCACAGGTTCTCCACCTTCTTTGTGACCTGGGGCGTATCGGGGGTGAAGAGGTCTGGGTAGTCACCAAGCACCACGTCTTGGATGAAGAACTGACGCACCGTCTTAAGGGGGATCTTTTGAAGGTTCATCTTTCGACCTTTCACCCTCAGCAGTCCTATGTGCCTATGTCCACACAAACAGGGTGTTCGGGCTACTGTGCTCTTTCTAAAAGATTTTCAGAATATGGTATCCATTGGGAGTGTGTGTGTGTGTGTGTGTGTGTGTGTGTGTTTGTTTGTACTTCTTTGTTGCCTCTCCAGGGGACAGGGAGGTGGCTACAGAGCTGCCAGGCTGTATCACATAGAAGAGCTGCTGTTCATTTCTGGATGGTGTGATCAAACACTCGTGCTCATGACCCCAAACCACCAAGTCGAGAAAATCATCCAGGAACTGCTCAGGGATGTAGTTGGTGGGTCCGTGTTTACTCCTAGAGACGACACCAGCAGAAAAGACAAGAATGAAAAGAAGAAAAAAAAAACGATTCACAGAGCAGAGTGATATCAGGAAAATACAGCTGTTTAAATCCCTAAACCACTGAGATGCACACACCTGTTCTGGTGGATGGCGAAGAGGTTGAACCATTCATCTTGGTCTTCTTTAGGACGCAGCATCGTTACCTGGTTGTTGACGAACATCCTGTACAGGCGCTCATCTGGGATAGAGCCTGCGCACGTGCATATTATATTATCATTTTCATCATTTTATTCAGAAAATTCTAGGAATGAGCATTAACGATACACCGTGATAGAAATAAACTCTTACCAAGGCCAAATAAGGCCAGCTTGGTGTTGCCTTTCTGCATGAGGATGGGACTAATTTCTATGCTCTCCACGGACTGGGAGTGACCAAAGTGATTGAGAAGACCAGAAGCACTTAGCAGATCCAGCGCACATAAGCCCTCGGCCTTGAGGGAGAAAGAGTAAACGTGACATTAAGGCCACTGAAATATACAAAAAACGACTTAACAGTCACACACATCCTTGCTTATGTTTCAAATATATATATATTTTTTTAGGACTCACAACTCACCCCAGTTGGGTCATCGTGGTTACCATGAATGCTGAATGCAGGAATAGAGATGTTGAGATTTTCATCCTGATAGTTGACCCAGGGGAACCTACAACATGTCAACAAACATAAAGCAACATTAATGTAACAAGACTACACTGATTTGATCAAATGACGGCCCAAAAACCGCAGAACTGACTTGGAGGTGTTGAAGTTCACAGTCTGGTCACTGACGATGTCAAACTGTATGGGTGTGTCTCCCATGCAGTATTTTCTCAGCATAGTGATGCAGTTGTGGAGGCATCGGCGTGACGGCTTGTTCTCGTGGAATAAATCACCACCCAGCAAGATGAAATCTACCTGCAAGCAAACGAGAAAACAGAAAGCAGTGGGCACGTAGAGCAGGGAGAGACGTTCTTTCAAGCAGACAGATAAACATAACAACTTTTACGTACCTCATTTGTCTTGGCACATTTCAGGATTTCATCGAGTGTATTATAAGAGTCATTGCCACGAATAGCATCCTTCTCAAGGTAACCGAGGTGAATATCTGTGGCAATCAGGATCTTGAAGGTATCCTCATCGTCCCTAAAAAAAAGAAAACAGCCCAAAATATAAGCCGGAACATCAGATTTTGTACCCAGAGTTAACTGTAAATGAATGAACTGTAACAGACAAAAACCAGCTGTTTGGTTTGAGAATAGCTTTGCAGGTATTCAAATACTAAAATTACTCACAAGGTGTTCTCTGAGGACATGGTGACGTGTGTGATGGGTGGTCAGCAAAAAGCCTCCCCTGCAGAAAACACGATATATTTAACATAAAAACATCTTGCAAAAAAATATTTTAAAAAAGATACTTTGGGATAAATTTCAGTCTGGTACTACAAAACCAATGCAAACATGAATTAATTATGGGACTGAATAAGACATTTGTATAAATAATGTTTGTGTTAGCAGCTAATAGAAACACCACAGCTAGGTCACAATGATAAAGAGTATTAATTCATCAACAGATAACGAGCTATTCGTGGGAAACATTGCAGAGTAAATCGGAGTTTCTGAAAGAGCAATAAAGTTTACGACGTAAATCGCGTTAACATGCGTGGTAGCTAGCTAGCTAATTATCCGTTAGTAAAGTCGTAGCTAACAGCGACGTCGAGGTGATAAATTGACGCAAAGTTGTCGTTAGTTTATACTCGAGCTGGAAACCCTTAGCAGCTAATTTACAGTTAGGTGAAAGTTATCAATCCGATACGTTAGCTAACAGGAAGAAAACTTGAGTTTACAAATCGGATAACGTTGTCCATTGAACGTTAAGGTTAGATAATAATGCATGTCATTTGTAGTATATGCTATAGGATAATAACAATACATATATAACGTTAACCACAACGTGGAGGAACACAAACCCACCTCTCTTAGTTCAAGAACCCGGAGACATGCCAATAAAGTCCCGGCAAGTCTTCTCGCCCCGCCTCTCACAAGGAGTCACAGTTATTGTAGTTTTATTGTGAAACAGTGCGGTTGTAAATTCCGGAAGAAACGCGGAATAAAAACTACACTTCCGGTAAGTAAACGGGATGCGCTTGTTTTGTTGCTACTATTACGCCGGTTCGTCGACCTAGACCATAGCGGTGCTGTAAAGTCCATTGTGCCGTATCAGGCGGGCAAGTGCGGTGTATAATCACTCAAACCCCTTTGTAGCTTTCCAAGTGATGTTTTCTTATCATGACCTATATTAGAAGTGGTAGCGAGTCATAGCTAGCAGGCTGTCAATCAGGAATTAAAAACGGACTGGCTGTTATTTTACTTAAAAACATATAAACACATTTTGCAAAATTTGCTTCTCAGCACGAGCGACGCCGACTGGACTGGTTGCATTTCAATGGAGACGCTTTCAAAAACAGCTGACGCTGATGCTACGCGGGAAAGGGTAGATTTAACCTTAATTTACTAATATTACATCCCAGCCCAATTCATCTTAAAAGGAAGCGATACAGCTGTTCGCCTCGGCTTTATACCGGCGTAGAGTTAGCGGAGAGCTAGCAGCTAGCAACAGTTGCTACAACCCAGTTCTGATGCTGCAGAGCTGGAGAAGTTTCACCTTAATGTGTTGATGTTATATTTGACTTGAGCCTCGTGTTGTAACTCTACAGGTCATTAGAGGATGAAATGCAAGCTTTCAGCTGGTATGAATTGCACTTGTACTGCTTATGATGCGGTGGCTGCTACCACTGCCATATCCCCATTAGTCATTGAAAGTACACTGTGGGTTTTCAATATTCGCCAGATGTTGTGGCATTCTGGCCAACATGTTTGCCCGTTTCTCTGCAGGAGCCGCCAGCCCCCAGGGGAGTAGTATCTGACAGCTTTTCACTCCCATCTTATAAGGACTACCCTCCTCACCGTCCATTCATCAACACACTTTTGCATCACACACCCAAAACACGCTCGCATCAGCCTCGTCGCTCCTCGTCGCCCGGAAATGCCTTCCCAGAGACCAGCAGCGCAGGTGACTTTACTTTGAAGTCTTCTTTTCCCTTTTCAAAGTTTCCATTCAGGTATTGTGGTGTTTTCGAGCTCCATGGTAACCGCATGTGCAACATGATGCCACACTACTTGAATGTCACCGACAATGTATCCTTGCTCTCTTCCCCCCCGTCCAATTTTTCCATCAGACCATTTTACACCACAGCTTTACATCAGGCCCTAAATGTGTTCAATCCACCCGATCCATTTTCTTGTTTTCTACGTGTAGAGATCTTATCTGCCCTGAGGAACCTCCAGGAGAAGATTATGAGGTTGGAGCTGGAGAAAGGACATGCGGAGCGCGGTCTGCACGCTGTGGGGCAAAACGTTCCGTACGCACCTCTGCAGAGGGAGGAAGTCGCACAGAGACTCTCGGGGGATCACGGAGAGCCAGAAAGAGAAATAAGTGGAGAATCCAACAATAACCAAGGTGGCTGCATGAATAACATTGTTTATCCCCCCCCTGTTCCTCTTATCTCACGGTGTCTCGTTGTTCTCCAGTGTTGATCACTCACCTGGCCGCTGCAGAGTCTCGCTGTTTGAAGCTGGAGCGACAACTGGATCACATGAGGAGGATGTTGCGAAGTGCCAAGGCCGAGCGGAGCAGCCTGCTCAGACAGCAGGTAGACCCCGAGTCCCCGAGGGCCGTCGAATTAACCATAAAGCACAATAAACACTCGTGCTTTAATGGAGTGCTCGCGGGTAAAAGCTTCTGGTGTTAGAGGGGGGCAATTTGGGTTAACTTGATTGTTTTTTTTTTTTACGCTTTCAGGTTTCCATGGAGACAGCCAGGTCAGCCGAAAAGCAGCCTGACACAGTTTGTGAGCAGGCCCAGCTGGAGACGCTGGAGCGACTGGAGCAGGAGTACCTTAGGCTGACACACACACAGAATAACGCTGAGGTACAGACGAGGACACGGCTCAGTCTGAGAGGAAAAAGGCAATGTTTGGTTAAACTTACTGTGAACCTGGTAGGAGTTGATTAGGTGTAAAGGATCACAAACTGAATGCTGTAGGTCAAAAAATACTGATCTAGCTCTGGTTTTTCAGATCAGTTATGAAATGACGTGTTGTCGTACAGAATGAGGTTGAAAACACTCAGTTTTATTTGGGCAGTGACAAAAGGGAAAAATACTGTGTCAGTTTTATCACAATAACAATGATAATACATGTTGTATTATGTCAGATGAAAATGCGGCAGCTGGAAATAAAACTACTGGAGGAGGAGCATCAGAGAAAGCTGGTGCAGGATAAGGCCAATCAGGTAACAGCAATTTGATTTATATTATTATTTATCTTTAATTGCCATCATGGGATCACGTCAGTTGTGATGTTTGATATACTTCAAAAGGATTCGTATTCTATTGTTTTAGTGTGAATTTTTTAATTGCCACTCGCTCACTTGAAAATAATGTGTTTGTTCCTCAGCTGCAGACAGGTTTGGAGACCAACAGGATCCTGCTGCAGTCAGTGTCTCCCTGTCTGTCCAGCAGACCGTCCAAAGAGAAGAAGTCTTACTCCAAGGTAAAGAACTGCAGAGGGGTGGATCAAAGCTTCAACCCCTGTTTCACACTTCTGTCTCTCTTTAAAAGTAGACCAAATGCAACAAGACAGTTGAAGTCGTAAGGAATTAAAGTGCATTTGTTTGGATATCTTGATTTGCTTTTGATGATGGGGGGGAATCAAATATGGAAACTATGTTGATCTGCTCTTTCCAGAAGTCTTCTCCACAGCACTCGTCCTGCACACAGCCACACTACAGACTGAGCCTCAGAGATGTACCCTTCGTTGCTGGAACGGTAGTACCGGCACCTGTGCAAGTGAAAATAATATGTATTCAATGCTGCACCCCCTTAACTCTTATAAGTCGCTTCATTCAACTCCTCTTCGTCCCCCTCTCCTTCCTCTGCTCCCCAACTTTCAGTCTGTAGGCTGCAGCCACTCAGTCCGAGCGAACGTCCAGTCAGTTCTGTCCCTCCTGAAGCGACACCAGCCACACCTCTGCAACCGCCGCGTCCTCTCCAGCGACGCCAACGGCCACGAGACGGGCTGCCGCAGGCCCTCGGACGCCTCCTCTTCTTCTGCCTCCGCTAGCGGGGGGGAGCTGTCCGAGCTGCTGCAAGCACTAGAGGAGGAGCTGAGACTCATGAGCCTGTGAGTGTAGTTGCGCGTGGATCTCTATGAGCAGTGGCTTGCTTAGAATAGTGGTGGAATTTGCGTGTCTGTCTGTCTGTCTGCGCGGCAGGGAGCGGGACGAGCTGACGGGGCAGGTGGAGGCCAGCGTTACGGACCAGGAGAGAAAGGAACTTCAGAGGGAGCAGGAGAGGCTGCTGCAGAAGATGGAGAGGAAAGGAGAACAGATCAATAAGCTCCACAAACACAGAACACACGTAGGTTTTCACACAGAAACAATGCGCTTGACAGAAATGCAAAGGTGAGAATTTTTTTCCTCCCCTCTTTTTTTTTTTTTTTTTTAGATAAAGAAGTTAAGAAAGGAAGCTAATTCCAGGCGGAGCTGTGGGAGTGAGCGGAGGGTGGCCTCCACAACGTCCGCTAGAGGTCGCTGTCCTGCGCCAGTCAAAGTTGGACCAGGAGAAAGAAGCAAGGGGAACCTGAGGCTGCTGAGGGACATGAGGGCTCTGCAGACCTCATTACGCACCTGAACACACCGCGTTTAGTTCAAATACCTATATTTGGCCCCTATTTCAGTTCATGCATGTATGACTTCTGATCCCTTTGTAAAAACATATTGTTTTTTTCCTACTGTATTATGAAAATGAAATGCATCTAAACAGACCTAAGTTTTCTCTACCGGTCCACCCAAAGTGCATTTTGTCAGTTTCTTTCTCTTAGTCATCCGTCCGTTGACTTTTCAGAATAATTTAAAGAAAGAGTCTGCTTCAAATTATTATTGACTAATCTGCTGTATATTATTGTACAAAGTGAGATCCACTTTGTGTTTAGGCCTTTTATCCGAAAGTGGCCTGACAGCTGTCAAAGATTCATTGAAACCAGGAAAATAGTTTATTGATTTTTAAGAAATGGAAAGTGAAAGAATGTTTTATAATAATGGACAACCTGGACTTCTATGAGTCTTAATAGTTTTTTGTTTTTTTTTTAATAAGGGAGCTAATTTCTTCTGGTACTACAACATCCCTGGATTGATTGATGGTTACAGATTCTAACGTATTAACTACTCACACATATTCATCGACTGGATGCAGCCGCTGCCGTTCAAAGAAACCGCAATGATGAAATAGTTTGATACACATTTCTGCAATTTGACTATTCTTATCCTTCCTACAAATGTATTTCTCCAAGGAATAAAGTATTTGGGGTTGCTCATGACTACGGTGCTGTTTTGTTTGTATTGGCCAGTATTGTTTTCGAAGAGATCCAGGGATTCCCTATGTGAGCTGCTACTGGCAGGTGTAGTTGGCTAGAAGATGCCTCACTGCCGTCTGTTTAACCCCCCCACCCCCACACACAAAGAGGTGACTACTTGATCCATGGAAACCAACAATCAAAGCAAACCGGGATCTGTGAGCTGGTAATTACTTGCCGAACGGCTCAATGAATGATTTAAACACGGTACAGTGTATTTAAGCTCTATTCTATTGCTCTTGAACACCAGTGGATGGCATCTTTCATTCTCACAACACAAGTAGACAGTATTTGCTTTTCTTGTAGCTGACATTCTATATAATGTTTGAAACGTTAACAATTACAGTACCAGTCACACCTCTCATTCAGTACAATGAGAAGGTGTGTACGAACTGTTGACTGTGTATTTGAAACATATATTGAGAAATGGGAGTGATGTGATATACCAATTTTAATATCAACAGTGAAATTTAAAAATGCAATATTCTACGAGGTTAGAAGACGGATATGGAAAAATAATATATTATCTAAATACTTCAGTGCTTCACAATAGTGCTCTTAAATCTGGCTCTTGTGAAGTTATAACAGTACTTTTCTACACCCCAATAAACAATTTATTCAAATGCCAAAAACAGATCAATGTACAAAAGACAAAGTCTACAAGTTCACTATTCATTTTGCAAATTCTCATATCGTATATAATATAATCGTTAAATTAAAATGTGATATCGTGAAAGGAAGGACATTTTAGCTAGCTTAGTTTCAAACACTGCCAAAAAAAGACGCAGATTTAAAGTTGTTTGCATAATAGCTTATTACCTTTTTACAATAGTTGACCCAACACTGGTTTATTTGCTAAGAGGCTTTCAGACATGAAAGTAGAGACTATACGGTGTTGATCACTACTCTTTAGAAACGCTGTCTAGAAGTAGGACCCGCTTTAAAAGGCCCACATGCCCCCTCGACTACCGCATGGGGAAAATAAACGGGTCCGATGTTGCTCCCCAGGCCGGAGTCACTGGCCACGACTGTCCATAAAAGGGTCGTCACCTGCGGGTGTGAGTCTCTCTCCAAGTCCACACCACCGAGTCCTCAGAGGAGTCCAGACACCGGATCCTCTCTGCAGAGGGCCTCGTGTCACATCTCTGTTAACCGGGCCCGGATTCCCAGTGAAAACAACACCTGTAACCAGAGTGCTCCGTCTGTTTGTTCAGGTGTGATAAAATTGGCCTGCTGACTCACTCATTGAGAGCCCAACGCACACTGACCTAAATGAAGACGACGGTTTCGAGGCTCATTTCACGTGTTTGCTTCAGGAATCTGTCTCAGTTATAGAATCCAGCTCTGTGACTTTGGGCCCGTCCTGATGTTTGGTCAGAACCGGCCGGTTGGTGTAAATGTCGTCCACAGGTAGAAGAAACGTGACCGTTTTTACCTTGGTCCTAAAAAAGATCAAAGACATCACAGAGCTGCAATGTAGAAATATGCTGTTGTCACTATATATGTTCAAACACATGACAGGCCAGTGCCTACCTGTCTCTGTGTGTGTATTCCTGCAGTGAGTGTCTGTTGGCTCCTTTTCCCATTTCTCCTCTGGCTGAGTTGCCATAGATACCACTACGATGCTGGATGTGTCCATGTAGTCTTCCCCATCCAGAGTCGGCGGTCTGTGGCCGCTCGGTCCTTCCCTCCGTCATGGTGACACCAGACAGACCGGAGCTTATAGAGTATCTCCGGACGGTCATGACAGCGTTCTCTGTGACACAACGTGAACGCGACGCAGTGAAATTTCCAGTTTAGACATTAAAAAGAATTCCATAGTCAAATCAAAATGTCATGTTCCCCGTTTGAGAGTTTAAAAATGTCACGACTTTCCATGTTTTGAAATAAAGTTTTGTTGTTAAACCCTCACATATTATTTATTTCATTGAGCCGTTTACTGGACTGCTTTGTAGGATCCAGTATTTATTGGAGTTTGGCCAAAACAAAAGACTAGTGTTCCGGTGTAGGTGCTTTTATTATGAAGGAAAGGAAAAAGGAAAACGGTTCAGCAGTGTTTTGTAAGTGAGAATAAAGTTGCTGGCACCTTGGCGCAGACACAGAGTTATTCTTTGATTATAGGCGCACATTAAACCCTCAGCTATTGTGTAACACACTGACAAACTAAATGATCACATCACTTCACACAGTAACAGATCACTTCTCCTGTGTGCCCGAGAAATACGCAGCATTAACTTTCATATTACCACTAGTTTTAAGAGCTTGAACAAGCCGCTTTGTGCAGTAACCGGAACCTCTCACCTTTGTATTGGCCCTCCAGGTCCGGCGCAGACGCGTTTCTCCTCAGGTTCACGCTCGGGTTTTCCTCCATTCCCGCCCGATGCTCCGCTACTGGAGACACCGTGCCAGCTCCCCCTCTTCCTCCTCTTCCTCCCCCCCCTCCTCCTCCCCGTCGCTTTGCGCCAAACGACCCCCGCAGCTCTCGGTTCTCCGTCTCCAGCTTGCTGATGTCGTCGCGCATCTCCAGGATGACGCGCGCCAGGCCGCGGCTGCTCTCCATGGCGCAGCGGCTGCGCTGCCAGTACCACGGCTTCCCAAAGACCGGCGGGGGGTCGTGAGACCGGAGAAGCTCGCCGTGCTGCCGCGGGTTTAACATGATGCTCCTCTGAAGGCCCTCGGCTTCTTCTCGCCGCGTGCCTTTCTCTGTCGCGTTGGCCTCAATCTCAGTCGAGATCTTGTTCTATGGGGAGATTATGTCGCCTTTCACCACTTCTACAGCTGAAAAGGTCTCCGGTGATCGGTCCGCAGTCACAAAAGGATGTTTAATTAATCAGCCCCAGCGTCTAGTTTCAGGAAAACTAAGCAGGGGTCGGAAATGAAATGTGCACTTGCATTCGAGCTTGACTTACTAAACCTGCAGGAGCAGTTTATGACAACTACTTGGTCCTGTAACGCTCATGTCCCCGTTGGGATTACAATATCCTCCCTCTGAAATATTAACTACATCTAAGTCTAGGGGGGAAACTGAGGAAAAACCCATTCCTGTAATTCCTCTGTTCTGAATGGAATGTATACGGTAGTTTATTTTATCTTTTAAACGTGGTGAATTGGATGAATTGTACAAGAATAGGTTAGACTATGTCTTTGGATAGAGTCATTTTTGATATTTCGCTCAGATGATGGATTGGAGACATGAGTGACGGCCTGTAATCCGTCTAATGAATAACCATGTTGGTTTTGGTGGTCAACCCAATGATGAAGGGAGATGTTTTAAAAGAAAAACACACATGAATACAAAAGAACACTTGATAAATAAGAGAAGCGACCACTGCAACGGACATTAAATGCAGGCGTGCTGCACCCAAAGGAGAAAAAGACTGATGCACTCAGTGGGGGGCCCCCGCTCCCCCCCGCCCCCCGACGGCTGAGATTGCAGGTCAGGCGCTGCCGTGCAGCTCATGTGGACACAGGTTGTAAGAGCAGACTAACTCCAACACTTTTTGTCACCCCTGACCTGCACTGAATGTTTCTGTGGTTCTGGTTCTGAGCAACCCGACCCGCCGGAGTCTAGGCCACTGGGAGGGTGACAGGCGCACATAAGCTGCTCTGAGGACGAGAGAAACCCAATCAGGCCCCTCTTTCTAGTGCACAACATCTGCTAGAGAGAGGGAGGCGGGCGAGAGGGAGGGAGGGGGAGAAATGCTGATTGTCTGGAAGGAAAGGATTTTGTAAGGAGAGCTGAGAGGTCAGTGAAACATTCATACATTACATTCATTTGTGTGAGAATGCTTCCTAATGCAGACGAGTGAGGGACAGAGAAGTGCATGTTGTATTTTACCACCAGCGGTTTGTTTAGAGCATCTTAATCTCTTTTTATGCAAAGTTCAACAACCCCAGGCGTGGCATCAATAAGTAAGCAACCACTCTGCTGCTCGCTGTCGGCACGGTCAGTAATTATACCCAACTATTGGATAAGTGAAACCAGATCCCATGGAAAACTGTCAGTCATTTCACTTTCATTGAAAACCCCCACCACAAGTTTTGTACTTGGTGACTTCCCAAAATGCATTTCATCTTAAAGGTTTTGCCTATATTATGTTGCAGAAAATGATTCTCTTTAATTCCTTTTTTCCAGATGTCGTGTTGGCTGCCCACATACCAGCTAAATCTCCTGACGTCAATATGGTTACGATGATATATGGAGGAAACACAGCCTGATCTCCAAAACCTGTTCGTAAAAATGTATACGAAAATCTTGAACATACAAATTCCTAGTGATACATACTAAATAAATACGGACTGCAACTGATGACGTCACCCTATTCAAAGTGAATGGGGACCTGCACCCCGTAAACACACCTCGTGAAGTCTGACGATGTAATGTAACGTGTTATGATTGCATTTTTAACCCTAACTAACCCTAACCCATACTAACCCTTACCCCCTCAAAAAATCCAACATGGCGGAGAGACGTTCACTCAAGAATCTAACATGGTCCGCCATGTTGTTCACTCAAGGGGCGTGGTTAACCACCGCCAGATTTTCGTATACATTTTTACGAACAGGTTTTGGAGATCACGTTGGGAGAAAACAATAAAGACGCAAAGCACAAAGGAAACCAGAGCCTCTGGGTGGACACAACAGAGACGGCCTGAAGCATAGACACCGAAACAGCAGACAGACGCGTAGCAGTGATGATGAGAGCCCACCAGCTCCGATTGTGATTCATTTGGCTACTGGCTCTTTTCTGACCCCTCTGACTGGAAAGGAAATCAATGATCCAAAACAAAAGGATTTGTTGCTTTTGCAGTCGGTTCATTTGAGGCAGGGGACACTGTGAAGCAACAGTAACCCGGCTTTCCAAGTAGTTTCTACAGAACGAGTGATAAAGCAAAGGAAGTATATTTGGGTCAATCCACAACTTGACACAATGGATGAGCTTATTTTACAGGAAAAATATGCCT